TCAACAATGTTCATAGCTCTGTTTCAACTCTTGTTGTACTACAAGTGGACTATGATGGCCCCTTTGTCCTCTTCAGGGGGCTACAAGCACTCACAAGGGGAGAGATGATGGGTAGCAGGCTGAACTTTGCCTGATGTCACCTGCAATCTAGTGATCATATATTCTTCCTGGGTTTGAGAATATAGCAAAATTGAGGAGTATATCCAAACTCATACTGTCAAAAGAAATGATAGCATATGCTCTTCTGAATAGCTTGAAAAACTCAAAGAACATTGCTTTCTGATCAAAGTGCTCTTCCAATCAAATTGTGGGGTTGTTGGAGATTCATACAAAAAAGATTTGTCTATCAACTTTCAGCACCTTCCAATGCTGCATCCTCAAAACCACCTCAGCCAGAACCTAATTCAAACCCAATCTAGCCACTTCAAACTTATATCAATCTCACATTATACATGAGATAAATTTCAATCTTCTTCACAGAGCTTCTTTCCTGCTGATCCATTCTCTCTTCCTCATCTCCAACAATCATTGATACTCCTCACAATCAACTCCCAACAACATCTAACCATTGCATAATTCCTTCAGTAAACCTCAATTATCCTCAACATCACTTGTAGAGATGGTTGCGTTGAATCCGGATATCCGCGCGGATGCGGATATCCGCTCAAGATTTCAGCGGAATCACACATCCGCATCCGCATCTGCGGGCGGGTATCCGCTGGCGCTGGCGGGTATCCGTGCGGATATCCGCGGATACCCGCCCTTTTACAGGTCAACTATTGCCAGCTGGAAGGATAACCTTCCAGCAGGTAATGTTTTTTCAAAAAAAAAGAAAAAAAAAAAAAAAAAAAAAAAACGGCCCCCCTCGGCCTAGAGTAGAGAGGCAGAGGCCACACCGTCGGGAGGGGTTCCTCCCGACAAGAGGCTATGTACACCAGTTCGTTGGAAGAAATCCCTTCCGAAAAGCTGGTATGTGCACCAGTTCGTTGGGAGGAATCCCTCCGGGTGAGCTGGATTGTGTACCAGCTCGCTGGGATAAATACCCTCTCGTTGGGAGGGGTTCCTCCCGACAAGAGGATATGTACACCAGCTCGTCGGAAGGAATCCCTTCCGATGAGCTGGTATATACACCAGTTTGTTGGGAGGAATCCCTCCCGGTGAGCTGGATTGTGTACCAGCTCGCCGGGAGGGAGACAAGCTGGTTACCCCCGCGGAACTAGTTCTTCTGTTGGCTGGCCAATCCAGCAACCTCGACTCCTCAATCATCCTTTTTTGGCGGGTTGCGGCGATGATCACGCTGGTGTTGAAACTTAAACTATGGAGATGTGATTATTGATGGTGTTAACTCCGCCACAGCTAGCAAGATAAATCCTCTCGTTGGGAGGAACCCCTCCCAACGAGAGTATTTATCCCAGTTCGTCAGGAGGAATCCCTACTGGCGAGCTGGTACACAGCTCGCCGGGAGGGATTCCTCCCGGCGGTGTGGCCTCTCTTGGCACTGGGTATCCCTTGGGATACCCGGATATCCGCCAGGATTTCAGGGGGAATGGGACATCCGCACCCGCTGGCGGGTATCCGCTGGCGCTGGCGGATATCCGCCAGCGGATAGCGGATATCCGCAACGGATTATCCCGGACCATCTCTAAGATTCACTTGACCTCATTGAGTTTCCACAACTTCAGAAACACTTTGCCTGATTTCATTTGGTGAGAAAATAATAGAACTAATCCAATAATATTCTCTAAACTTGTTGACCAATGCTGTCTATTTATGTTGTAGTCTTGTCTGCTACCTGTCTCTGTCTTCCTTATCATCAGTTTTTCTTCATTGATGTCTATCATTGTTGTGGTAAATTCAGTTCTTTGTTATCTTTCTTTCATATATGAAAAAAAAGAAATTTTGCTTTTCAGTCTGGATTTGGTTTTTTATAATTAAAAGTCAGAATCTGTTGAAAATTCATCATCATCTGGTCTCTCTCCATTTTCTTGTGTCATTTCCCTGTAACTCCTTCTTTTCTCTTCCCTGTTCCAGATTGCATATTAAGCTGTTCCACAGCTTGGACCCATCACAGTTGTAATAGATACACCCATTTCTGAGCTAGAAATGAAAATCATTTGCTTTCTGCGTGCATTTTCCTGAGGTCTCTAATACATACAACCTCTTGTAACATGAGCGCTTTCTGCCACACACACCAGCAGCTTAGCTTCATTTGAGGCCCTTTGACTTTGTTTTTTCCTCAAGACTTGAGGCTTGAGTTTGGTGCTCTTCTCACTTTACCTCCCTCTTTCTGAGGCATCCACTCAAAGTTCCATCAGAATCCACAATTCCATAAAGTATTCAGTGGGGACATGTTGGCAATTTATAATATCCTTGATGAACCTATATTCATGATTGCTTTTCAGTGCTTTACACTAACAGTGCTAGACATTATGTATATGTATGGAAATTACATATGGAAATTACATGGCAGAGTCCAAAATTACACAATTCTTCAAGGGCTATTTCAATCTATTTACAAATGTTGGAAAATATTTTGTATGTCCACTGCTACAAAAAGGGGGAAGGATGATACAATTACAAAACAACAACACTTTGGACTGGGAAAAGACATGGCTATTCCCAGTTTACCAAATGAGCATGTTGTAAAATGGCACACAACTTGAAAAGCTAATCAGCCATTATTTTTCATGCATGGCCCCGAATCAGCAAGTTGACTTTCCCATTTTTGCCCAGAGCTCCTTTGGGTGTCAGGATGAAACCCCACTATAAACCCAGTCTGAAGTCAATCCAATACGCTTCACCATGGGAAATTACAGCTTAAAATACTAGACATCACTCACCCTGGTGTTGCATTCTTTCATCACCTTTTGAAATAAGATGTCAATATCCGACTTCAACCTAATGAGAGGTGTTGAGTAAGTGCCAAACCATCAACATTAGTTCAGCTTAATTTTGAGCTTACGCCATAACCTTTGAATCATCAGATGTCCACATGCCGACCTGATGTATCATTTTTGTTTCAAAAAAAAGTAGACTGTATTCATTAGTGTGAGGCCCTCTGAGGGCTGAGGATTATTTTGACTCACACTACATTTTTTGTAAGATGTGTGAATTGAATTCATGGGTACATGGTGGTCAACTGACACAAAGCGCCCCTCAGCATTGGTAGGGATCAATCGGTAGGCCCTGTGTACATACATATCAGTCAAATCAATAAATAACCAATCATTATTCGGCCATCAGCATCCTAGAAGGCAGTACCCTTCACTGGTGAAGAAATACATACTCTGCACACTCTTGCTTCACCAATTTGGTATCTTTGGGGTTGTCGGAGCAGAACACTTGGTTTAACTTGATATCATCCTGAGAGGAAGATGGATCTGGACGCCTATGGCGCCAAGTCAACAAGCGAACCCCATCAAAACCTGGGAGAGTCGCATTACCAGCCTAAACGTGATGCCCAAATTATCTGTTGGAATCAGCATTCTGAGATCCCCCTCTGATTATGATTTAGAAAAGTTGCAGAGTATAAAGTTGAACGTACATAACCATTACATTTTGCTAAAATTTGGTCAAACCCATTTTCAATGATTGCCTTGGGGCTGTTGGAGACAAAGCAATATTCACTTGTTTGTACCAGGGCAATCTTCGAAAGATTCTTCAACTCACACTTTGAGCCATTTTATATTCTCGATGTGTGTCTAGTGGAGAAGATTAATGATTAACATCCACAGATAGTCTGGGTGAACCAAGATCAACGAACGTACAACGCAGCTTCCAGAAGTCTTTTCAACACTCCTTTCATTATGGTCAAGGGTTGAATCTCCATCATAGATAATTTTGCGGTATGCACTGTATTGGTTTGGGGTTGACAAAGAAGAGAATGCAAATGTCAATGAGGCAAATACTCCGGTTGATTGACAGGGCTTCATATTGGGAGAGAATTTTTGAAAAAAATTATAAGAGTAAAACGGGGAAGCTCACGCTACGCAATCACCTGCCTTGAACTCCTTTTTGCGACCGCACATAATATCTTTGAGGGATGGTGGTTTGGTTTGTTGGAGGGAGCTCTGGAGATTCAGCAAGCTGATTAGGACGACGAGAACGACTCGATGCAATGCCATGTCTTCCTTCTGATGTCACTTCTGGGTTGGATTGGGGGAGTGTATGGATCTATGAATCTCGAATCGCCAAGTGGGTTACCGGTTTTATGATTGATCAAACTGGGAAACTTAAAAAAGGATGGAATGGGCGGCGAATTGAGGGACATTTAACACTCCAATGCCACGCTCCGGTCGGTCGCTGCCATTCACCGATGCTCTCGATGGAGGTTGCCGTTCACCGGTGCTCTCTTCGGTGGCTGCCGTTCACCGGTGCACTCGTTGGTGACAACAGTGTGTGGCAATGGTTGGTGGCTATCGTTGGAAGACGTAAGGTTATAAGTATGAGCATGAGGCTCTGTCGAACAAGAAGAACAGAATCGAGGTGTTCCCTCTCGAAACAAAAGTCTTCTCTTGTTTGCGGATGGTTCTCTTTTCTCACTTGGCCGCTGTCTGATTGTGGAAGGAACTCTGACGTGAGTAGAGATTCCTTATGGGCCATGGCATTGTGCCTCTGAGTCCTCACCCCCTCATAGCGACACCCGGCCAGCAGCAATAGATGCAAAGCAGTTGTGGGGTGGGGCACACCGTCTCGGCGAGTCGTCGGCTGCAGGCATACCAGTTTTTGACGCAGCCTCATCAATACTTCAAATCTATGAGGGGGTTTTCCTAATTCTCAATATCACGAAAACATTGTGTTGCCAAACTGATGCCGAAACATGCCACTCATGAGCTGGCGCAATTCTTGTCCCCCCCCTGTGGGTTACCATAGGTGGAGAGAGTTGCCTTGACAGTCTTACTACTGAAGCTATGGGAAATTAGAGAGAAGAGGGATGCAGCAGCCAGGGGTTGTGTTTCAGTTTTTGAGCCAGAAGTTTGTTGCGGTTGTGTGCTGTGCATGAGTGGAGGAGTGGTGTGCGCTAGTCGACGTCATCGCCAGCCTACCTCTCCCCTCTCCCCCTCTCCCCTCGCTGTCATTCCTGCCTTCATCTCATCCTTCACCATCTCATCCTTCACCATCCATCCACTCGATCACTCGCAAACACCTCAAACCATCATGGCTTCAAACTCAACCATGCCTGCTCAGGTCGACGTGCTCATCATCGGGGCCGGTCCCACGTCAGTCTTGCCTCTTTTCCCTCTTCATCTTTCATGACCACTGACAACTGTCCCCCAACCCTCAACGCGTTATCATTGTCGAAATTCGTAGTGGATTAGGCGCTGCACGTAGATTACATCAATTAGTAAGTAAAAAAAAAACTCATCAGAAACCGAAACAAAGAAAAACTCAGATGGTTGATTGTGTTTGATCGATGTGATGTGATGTGATGTGTGTGGACAGAAAAACGAGTCGTATTTGGTGGTTGATGAGCAACCGGAAGCGGGTGGACTAGCGTCGACGGACGTGACCCACGAAGGCTTCTTATTCGATGTCGGAGGGTACAAAAAACCCCCCTTTCCCCCCGCTCCAAAAAACGATCACCCCGCCATCTTTTTTGTTTCTTTATGACTGATTGAATATTTGGCTTTGTTTGATTTTTTATAAAAAAAAACAAGACATGTGATCTTCTCACATTATCAGTATTTTGATGACATGATTCGGGAGGCTTTGCCCAACGACTCGGATTGGTTAACGCACCAACGGATCTCGTATGTCCGAAGCAAAAACTCTTGGGTTGCGTATCCTTATCAAGTTCAGTCCTTTCCCTTCCTTCTTTTTGTCAAGAAACACAGATCACACGATGATTTTTGTCATGCTTAGAGATTGATGAAACTCTTTCGGGTGTGGGTTGGATGATAGAATAACATCAGTCAATTGCCAATCGAATATCAAGTCAGTTGCATTGATGGTCTCATAGATGCTGCCGAGGAACGCTCTCGGGCCGTCGGAAAACCCAAAAACTTCGATGAATGGATCGTCCGCATGATGGGTATGTGAATATTTTAACCCCCACCATTTGTTCCCTGTTTGTTGGATTAATTAATCGATAAGATGTGTATTGTAGGCGTTGGATTGGCAGATTTGTTTATGCGACCTTATAACTTCAAGGTCTGGGGAGTGCCGACAACGATGGTAAGAGTGACCAGCAAGCTAGCGCTAGAGAAGTGGAGATTGATCGAACGCGTTGCGGATGAGCACAGATGCAATGCGAATGGCTAGGCGAGCGAGTCGCGGCGCCGTCCTTAAAGCTAGTAGTGAAGAACACCTTGTACAAGAAAGAGGCAGGGAACTGGGGCCCGAATGCGACGTTCAAGTTCCCGGCGCATGGAGGGACGGGTCAGATCTGGAAGGCGGTCAGTCGCTGCATCCCTCAAGACCGCTTCCGGTTCGCTAGAAGACTGGTCTCCGTCGATGGCCAACAACGCGTCGCTTGCTTCGACGACGGCTCTAAGGTCGCTTACAAGAAGATGATCAGCTCGGTCCCCTTGGATCTCTTTTGTGGCTTGGTCGACCAGGAGAAAAATACGCCTCCTGCGGGTGACTCTCCCTCGCTCAAATCCGTCGCCGATGGGCTCGTCTATTCGACTACGCATGTCGTCGGCTTCGGCATCCGTGGCCTCCCGACGGTGAGCTCTTTTCCATCATTACCTGTACAAAAAAAAAGAATAGACGCGACTTCCTTTTTTATTTAATGAGAAATGAATGAGGAGACTGACGAAAAGGATTTTGGTAAATGTAGGGAGCCATGAAAGGGAGCTGTTGGCTATACTTTCCCGAGGATGATTGTCCGTTCTATCGGGTCACTGTCTTCTCCAACTATTCGCCCAATAACTGTCCCCAAAAGGAGGCCAAATTGAAGACCCTTCAAGTCGCCGATCCGTCGTTGAATGCACAAGCGGATTTGAAGAGCGAGAAGGAAGGGCCTTGTGGGTTTCTTACTTTTTCTCTTATTTTTTTTTTCGATCTGTACTTTATAATCCTATTGATTTCTAACCCCTAAACAAACCATAAACACACGTTTTGATTGATCGTCTCCTTTGCTTCTTTAGATTGGTCATTGATGTTGGAAGTTTGTCAATCGAAGATGAGGCCAGTTGATGAGCCGAATCTGATCAAAGACTCGTTGAAAGGCTTGATCAACACCCAAATGATCGAGCCGAATGCCGAGATCGTTTCGATCTACCATCGCAAATTCGATCATGGTTATCCTACTCCCAGTCTTGAACGTGAAAGTGTCAGTATAATCTTTCCCCCCCCCCCCCTGCCTTCTTCTTTTCTTTCTTCTGAGACACTTATATCAAATGTTAATGTTGGTTTTGGATTGGATCGGGTCCAATAGCAATTGAAAACCTTGTTGCCTGCGCTTCAAGAGAAGTATGGGATCTGGTCTCGTGGAAGATTTGGATCTTATCGATACGAGGTATGTGTTTTTTTCTTGTTTGGTAAACTACAAGCGTCCAGCACAATTCAATCAGGACAATCATTGTTATCATCTTGAAGCGCTGATTATGTTTCTTACTTTCAATCCTTCTTTGTTTCGTAATTGTTTGTCTTAATCTTCATCTTTATCAGGTCGCTAATCAAGACCATTCTTGGTCGGTTTCATTTCCCCTTTCTTTGGCTTGACAAGCTTGATCCATTTTTTTCTTCTTCTCCTTCCATATTGGAATATTCCCTCTTCTTTCTTTTTCTTTGCAGATGAAACTGATATTCATTTTCGTTTTTTTGTACATTTGTAGTATGATTGGAGTGGAAGGTATGTGCATTTTTATTTTACGTTTTGACTGAGTGATAATTGGGGGAAAAATTTCTCATCATCAATGTGGTTCTTGATTTTGATTTTGGATTGAATGATTATTAGCTGTTGATAACATCTTATTCGGGACGCCTGAGATGACTTTGAACGAGGCGGATTGGGTGAATGGGTAAGCGAGGCTTCTGATGCCCCAAATCCTTGATTGTAATCTCAATACTAATCAGATAACTCACTCTTGTTTCTTTTTTTTCAGACGCAAGAACACCGAACGTCGCTTGGATTAGTCTTTCATCTTCTGCTTGGATTGATTCTACTCACTTACATATATATCATCGGGCTTGTTGTTGTTTGTTTGTTTGTTTGTTTGTTTGTTTACTTAGAAATCAATAGAAATTTTGATTGGTTATATGTCCTTAAGTCAAAGTCATTTGTAGATCTTCTCGTTGATCTTCTTGTTCTTGACAAACCAACCCCCTCCCCTCCCCCCCAAAAAATCACTCATGCATATTCTTTCCTTTTTCCCCCTCTTTTTGGGATTGTCTTCCTTATGCTTTTTTTTTTGAATAGAGAAGAAGAAAATAGAATCTCTTTTGTTAATACATAAAAGCATTACATTTGTTTTTTCTTTCCCCTTAAAACTGTTTTTTTTTTTAAAAAAAAATGCTTGGGCCGAAAAGTATAATTCTACTCTATCAATGCTAACGCTACACGCACAGGGGCCCAAAACAGTGTCTGCTTTGCTGTGCTACTGTGCCGGTTATCCACATTTTGGCCCAGTAGCAGCCATGAGTGGCCTGCAGCGCAGCCAAAAACAACTATTTACCATTGCACTAACACTCCATGTTTTCCATACACAAAAGAAAAGCAGCTTAAGCTGATGCTTTTTGGGTAAAAAGAAAAGCATACATAGGGTAGCAGCCCATCATTGGCTGCAATGTCAATTGGAAACAGAGGGTGAAGTTGGACTCTATTAATGCAGATGGCTTCTCATAAGTCAAGAGGTCGCTCTAGTCTGAGTAACTAGTGGGGAAGTGCTGCTACATTTATTTGCTTCTCGTATGAGTAATGTTTTTTGTGTTGTTGATTACTAAGAGTTTGCACCATGTGCAAATCCATCATTATTTTTGTGAGATTTTGGTATCTTGGTCAACAATAGAATCAATGTGAAAAGGACAAAGTCTGGTGGGTCAGATGTGTCTGGTCACTGAAACATTGCAGTCACAAATTCAAATTTCAAAATAGTTATCAACTTCTTTGAAAGGATGGTTTGCATAGATGATAGGGCATCAACCAGCATTCTTTTAGCTACGATTATCATAAGACTTAACTGTAAGTGTTCCTGGATAATAAATAGAAGATGATCCTTGTTCATACCTACAAGTGGAAAATGAAAACAGAGCCATCACAAGCACACTGGGAGTCCCAAAAGCTTTTCATTTATCTGATGATTTGTGCCACTTCAATTTCTAAGTGATCAAAGTCTAAAAACTAGTTAAACAAGTAAGATATGTTCTTGGAAAAAGATATGAGCTTATCATGGATGATGCAGAGGGACTAGAGGAGCTCAAGAGTGATCAGAAAGCCTGATGTCATATCACAGTAAACCAAGAAAAACTCTATCTTAGCCAATTGGAATGGGAAAAGGCTATGGCTTTATATTGGAGAACTCAAACTAAAGTGCTTGCCATTCAAGCAAAAGAAAGGATAAGATTTACAATATTACGGGATTACATTACAGGATGGTTTTCAACCTTTGACAAGAAGCAAAAAATGTGTTAAGAATCAGGCAATTTTGGAAAAGGGGAAGCAAGGAAAACGGGGAGATCTAGAAGAAGCTGGGGTCATGAGTTATAACTGATGGAACCCTCATTATTTCTGTTTCTTAGTGTCTTTCTTTCCAGCCGGTGCGCCGGCTTTCAATTCCACCTTGGGAGTGGGTCCCAAATCCACGCTGGGAGTGGGACCCGAATCCACGCTGGGGGTGGGCCCCACATCCACACCGGGAGGGGGGGGAGGGGGTCCCAAATCCCCGCCGGGAGTGGGTCCCAAATCCACGTCGGGAGTCGGTCCCACTCCTCCGCCGGGTTCGTCTCCCCTGAAGTTCTTGGCTTGTATGTAGATGACTGTTGGGGAAATCAAACAAACGAGGACCGTTAGATTTGCGTAAATATTCGCCGATTCATTTTATCATATACATTTCATAGGGATTAGCGAAAAAGAAAATTGGAGAAGATGGCATACTATCATCATAAATGGACCGCTGAGCTACAGGAGACGAAATTGCCTGATGGTTTGCTGCAGTGGTAATCGTCGAAACCCTGCTCAATTCGGAGGGATCGTTAATCATATTAGCGACATGTGCTTGATAATTTCAAAATTCCTACCAACCTGTAAAATCCGGGTGGCAGTCCAGTCTATTTCAGAAGGAAGAAAAGGGTCAGATATTTCAGCTCAAATCCTCACTATCACTTGGGGCTTCAATTTCGGAGGTAGATTTCAGGCAGCAGCAAAGAGACAAGAAGGGTAGAACAAACATCGATTGTGACTGAAACTCGCTCATCCGTAGCAGGCCCATCGATTCCTATTTGAATATAAGGCAATTGATAAGCTCCCTATCAAAATTCTGATTGGTAACATGTTGCTGACCTTTGAAGAACTCGAACAATGTGGGATCCGGAATGTCCGTAGATTCGAAGGAGTCTATTTTTTGCACCACGATATGAGTGTGTCCTAAAACATTCTTGGTCTTAGGGTCAAGCTGTATTGGGCCTTGCAAATATCTGAGCAGAGAGATACCAAACAAATATCATGTGTAAATGTATGTGTTTTGAAGTGTATAGAAAATCAAAATTTATCCTACGTGTTTTTTGGATTTGTGAATACCCCAAGTACCATGTTTCGAACCTGAAGAGTGATCGTAAGAGTTTTGTTGGATTGCACTTTGTCTAAGTTCTTGGGCGAGATGAACTTGCACGCAGGCATATGGTTCTTGTCAGGAACCTAAGATGCGTATTTCAATGAAGCACCCATCAATCAATAAAGCCTCCTAATGACAGAACTGAATAATGTTATGAAGTGATAGTTCACCATTCCCATCACTATTCCATTACAGCCTGGTTTGTCGGTTTGTTGCAATCCATTCATGATGACCGCCCCGCCAACTTGCCCAAACGATGTTACACAAAAGTTAATCTACACACAGAGATCAAAAAGTTAGAAAAATCTTCCCCGTTATCGATGGAAATTGAAAAATTGAAATTAAAAAAACGTCTGACAAAATTGTTCTTGCTAATCAACGAGGGTGATTGCGCGTCCTTTGGGTTTCCATCTGTGAAGGCTCCAGTTTGGATTGCTTTAGGGTCCAAGCATCTATTGTCATTGCCTCCTCCTCCTCCTCCTCCTCCTCCTCCACGACCGCCGCCGCCGCCACCACCACCACCTCCTCCTCCTCCTCCTCCTCCTCCACCACCACCACCTCCACCTCCTCTTCCGCCACCTCCTCTTCCTCCTCCTCCCCCATTTTGGGGAGCTCTCTTCTTTAACCGACGGTTCTCTGCATGAATGTGCCGAGTTTTTTGAAGCATGCGCTTGTACAGATCGATTTGACCTGAAGCAACCTCATCGGAGCCCAGCGGGCTAGCGGTTGTGAGCACCTCGAAAGCCGGTGTAGTTCTTTCGGCCTCGTCTGGGTCGAGGTTAATTTTGTCAAACTCTGAAGATGTGGTTCCCAGTCGTTGATTTGGCAGGGATAGAGGCAGCGAAGGAATTTGTCTAGAATCTACGCTCATCACCATCAATTAGATCCATGGAATCGATTTCCTTGGAAATATACATGTGTGTAGGACGTACTTTCTGTGAGGGTCCTGCCCGGTGTCGAAAAAAATGCGGATGGAGGGTTTTCAGACCGCACCGAAGTCGCCAATGAGAAAAGTGCGAGAAGGGCTATGTCTGTGAGAAACATATCTTCCTAGTGGAGAATATGCGAGTTCTAGGTGAACACGACTACAATAATATTAGGGTCTATTGGGCACAAAAAGATGACAGAACGAGCTTGAATTCTTCGATAGTGAGGATAGACGAGCGTGAATGCATGTGGAAAATTATTTGTCCCCTAGAGCCAGCTCGTCAGGTGCTGAGTTCTTCATGAGCAGTTCTCAGCTCAAAGCTCTCTGGGTATCATGCTGTTCAATCTGTCGTAAGGTTAATCCAGCAGCCGAGTCGGCACTTGACGATGAGTTATACTATTTGATTAACCGGGTCCTGTTTAGAAACAAGTCTCACCCCATAGACTCATGCCAAAGTAACAGTCACCATACCAACCTCTACATTTGCATCTTGACACTGCTGGCCTTAATGACTCAGCTCTAATGTACAGCCTGCCTCTTGCTTTTCCAATTGTAACTACACATTTATTTATGTAGTTGATGTCTTGGAGTCTCTTTGCTCACGCTATCACTCCCTCTCCTCTAAAAGACACAATAGTCGAAAATGAGCTCTCAGTCATACCGAGGCCGAGGATGACCACCTTTGCACTATCCTTTGGAATCAGTACGTACACCTTCTTATAACAAAGGGTAGGTTACTCAACACCTCGATTGACCGTACCGGATTAACTTCTCTGCGCGAGTAACATGCATCAACGTATTCAACGGAACCAGACCGCCAGTTCTGCTTCAGGCACCGATAGCTCCCGTAACAAGCGCGCATGGTTTCTCTCATAATTTTAAATGTTTCAGCTAACACCGCCGCTCTTATGTTCTGCGTAAAGACATTAGTGATGGCCATGTGAGTTTCGTTGACCTATATAGTCGGCCCGGAGTTAGCAGATTCAGCTGTCCCAATTACCACGGTCACAGTTGTAATGGGTTTAATGAAAGGCTCGTCGCCTCACATAAGATCTCTCATTGAGCTCTGCTTGTACTGCAAATGGTGGATACAAATTTTTTTTGGTCAATTTGTCCGTCACTCATTTAGTCTTGCCTGATAACTTGACAACAAGCCCTTCCATCGGAGGGCCTGGTGCCAGGCTGGCGCGAAGCGACCTTCGCGAACGAGGTGCCTCCGGCACGCCGGGGTTCCCTCGGCCCTCTGGGGAGGAACGAGGGGATTCGGTTTAAGATAGTTTGCCTGCTGTTTGGGATGCGCAACTGTTTTTCGGCTTTTCAATCAACGACTCAGGGCACCCCAAAATAACGTTGGTAGACCTCGACCTTCTCGACCGCTGGTCTTGGATTCTTTGGGCACAGAGGTTGCTCCCTCGATCACCTTAGCCTACCTGTTTGCCGTGGAGAGCTGCAAGCATACCATGCACCAGTTCACCAGGCAGAAATTCTTTGTGAACCAGTACACCTTTAACCAGCTCAATAAGGACAACTTACCCTGACATACCGTTATTCTCAAAGACTCTCAAGAAGCCAGGACAATTCACATTATTTTCATTGTGGCGGAGGAATCCTCCTTGCACAGGAATTGTTCCCCTGGGCAAGCTGGTACAGTACTGGCAACAATGGGCCAATTACAATAACCGTGGCTTTGGTGCAATAAATGAAGGGGAATTCCACTAATTTAATTGAGTGTAGGGCAGCATAATTCTGCCACCTCCGTGCTAACGCTAGACCTGCACTGCAGGCCCCCAAAATGAACCCGCTACACTGTGTTGATACACCATACACCCGCTCCGCTGCGTCAATGCACTTTTCAGTGGAATTTTGGACCTGTAGCGGCCTGTAGCGCAGTATAGCGTAGCAAAAAACTGTCAACATATCCCTAACACTATGCATCCTCTGCACAAAAAAGCAGCTACAATAACACTTTTTGGGCAAAAAGTGCAGCGTAGCGTGGCAGTGAGAGAGAAGGGCGGGCCAGTTATGCTAACTGTAGTGTTAGCATGGTATAACATAGTGGGATTCTGCTAGAATTTAGTGTTGTGTAGCGGAATTCTGCCTTGTCTGTGCTAACACTACACGTGTAGGCCCCAATAAAAAGTGCCCAATGTGCTGCGCTAATGAGCTGGTTATAAGTTTTTTGGCCCTGTAGTGGCTGTTAGCAGCTTGTATTGCAGCAAAAAATTGCTAATGGTGTGCTAACAGTACATGATTTCTGTGCAAAAAACTGCCACTACACTAACACTTTATGGGCAAAAAGTGTAGCGGCCCATTGTTGTCAGATAGTGTTCATCCCAACAAGCTTTGATTAGTCATGAATATGTACATTGGAAAGCAAGTGCAAACCATGTGAGCCAATACATAGAAAAGAATTCTCACCAGTAAGGTGCTAATCTGGGCTGTACCAGCCTCCCAGGGAGTATTTTTCCTTGGAAACTAGCAACTGTGGAACAATTAATTATCTAGTACATGCCTGTAGAGAGCCCCAAAAAACATTTTAACCTGTTAGAGGCAATGTTTTGCCATGTACTACCAATAATGTAACCAATCTGATCCCCGGATTGGTATTTATTGGGGATCAGATCAAAATGAGCTCTGATACCAAATATTGGGATTGGATTGATATCTGATCTGATTCCAATTTATTGGAGCTCTGCAATCACGTAGAGAAATCCGATCCCAATACCGGGTATTGGGGCTCATTTTGATCTGACCCCCAAGAAATACCAATCTGGGGATTGGATTGGTTACATGGTTGACAATACAAAAGCACAAGACATGCTGCACACAGCTTTTGGGTGTCGGATCTGGATTGCCATCACAATCCCAATCCCAATCTGACACCCTTTTGATCCAATACCCCGGGATTGGATCACTAGGGCAATCCAATCCCCTATTTTTTGATACCTGGTATCAAATAATTGGTCCAATCCAATAAATAGGCTGATACCACATCAGATCAGATTGGTTTCAGCTTTGGTACTACATAATTTCATGTTCAGTGTTTGATGTAGCATCTTTTGATGCATGTTACATTTTTGTAGCATGAACACTGCAAGTGAACTTGTGGGGCAAAGTTTGTCATTTTTTTGGAGGAGAGGGGTGGGGGGCACTGCAGCAGATCCTTGAGATAGTAGTACAAGGAGTACTATCTCTGTATGGTTAAGTTTTCCTCTTTCAGCTGGTGATGGTTATTCCACCCTCAGAAACACTGAGATTGGACAAACATATAATCATAAATAATTCTGGCCAGCACCTGCTTGCAGAATCCTAGTCAACATGCTGAATTTTCACCATTTATAATGTAAATACCGCAACCAAAGTTTACAAGAGTGGTACACAGCTAAAAGCCTCTCCGTTGGTGTACACACAGGACACACTCCATAGGAGAGGCGTATGCATAAATTTGACATATTGGCTGGAACAGGAGAGATTTCCAGGACCAAAACTGGTTAAGAGTCCAGCAATAATTAGTGTGTTAGTTGCAAACAAATCTGAGCTGTAAAACCTTTTGCCTTGATCCTTGGGAACATTGTGAGAAATTGAGCAAATTTGTATTCCAAATTTAACTGTCTGTAGGTCCAAAAGAAGAGGAAAAGACAACTGTCTTTCCTCACAACCAGAATACAGACTTAGAAGCTGCTGGAATCTGAAGATCAATCTACATATTTTCATGGGTTTAGAGGAAATCAGGAGCCTGAATTGGCCTGTGTATCCATCCCCCAGATGATCCACTCAGGCAAACCCTGGATTCCCATAATTTGTTTCCAGAATATATTTGTGCTATACATTTGAGCAGATTTTGATTCAATTTTCTTGATCTTTAAAAAACCATAGATCCAAATGTTGAGGTTTATGATAGTCTTCTACCATGATGTATCACTAGATGTCAAACCATGAGTACTACCACCCAACTACCCTGTCAGTCACAAGCGTCTGTAGCCTACACAGCTGTCACTAGGATGTTGCACGCAGTCTGCTGCAACACCCGCTGTAAGACTCAAAAGTGGTTGTGAAACCCTTTTGCTGAATGGAGAAGGGGATGGTGGAGTTGCAAGCTCTGCCCTTCTATGCTATCAGAACAACAAGACCACCAAGCTCAGCTTGGCAGTTTATATATCGTGATAGAGGATAGTTCGAGATGAAGCTGTTGAATGATTCGTATAACGGTTAAAGGTGTTGATGGTGATTGTTGATGATGATGTTGTTGTTGATGAAGTTGTTGATAGAGGCATCAATGATTGTTGTCAAGGTTGAGGCTTGAACGCAGGTCCTTGAGGTTGAGGGTATAAAAAGTTAAAAAGAGGTGATTTGGAACCAAGGCACTGGGCGCTGGGAGCACTATGCTTCAACCAGGAATGGAACAGGGGACTGGGCACTTGGTATGATGATGATGATATGAAAGTGTTATGAATATATTGCAATAAAATAAGGGTGGTTATATGACTGTGACTGGTAATATAATGGGTGGTGATTGTAGGGGTGGTTGAGATGATCTGGTCCACTGGTGGGATCATGAAAGGTACAACTGGCAGGCAGAGGCCTCCTTATATAGACAAAAGTGAGGGAATTTAGCTCCAGGGTACATGCAGGTGAGGGAATTTAGCTGGCCTGAATATCCAATGAGGGAATTTAGCTAGTCTAGTACATGCAGATGAGGGAATTTGGCTGGTGAGAGCACTGCCTTGAGGGATTTTGGCTAGCCTACAAGGTCCTACTACAAAGGAATGCATGTGCACTTACAAAGGAATTCAATATGAAACAAAGGAACTCAATATCAAATATGCATCCAGTATTCAAAATGAGCTATATTCAGAGTAAAGAATCCAAGAGATATCCTGTGATAGGTTGAAATCTGTGTAACTTCTAAACTATGAGAGATATGGGGTTAGTTGTAGTGAGTGACTAGGGGTTATTTTACCTGAGGAATCCATTTTTGATTTTACTTTTACCTCATATTTGATATATAAAGAGATAAGAATCAATTTTTATATTTTCTGGTGAAAAAACACAGGAATAACTACCACACCGCGGCAAGGGGCCCCCCTTACTGCGGGTGTTGCGGCAGACTGTATGCAAAATCCGATTGCCAGCTGTGCTAGTCCAAAGAAAATCTCACCAGGCAAAAAAATCATGCATTTTACCCAAGCCCCTCTCCCTTTGTGTGGGGAAAGCTTTTCTCACACAAGCACCAAGACCCTGACAATACACCACGGGTTGAGCTTTGGAAATGGCACTCCATTGGCTTGACCCCGCAGTCAAGCACCGGTCAGCCTTAACCACTTTTACAAAATCCCGCCGGATTGGTCTGGCCAACATCAAGTTTGGGCAGGAATGCTGTGATTCCAACATTGACCTTGACCTCTCAGGGTCAAAAAGTCCCACTTTTGGCTTGACCTCATTTCTGAAAAGGAAGAAAAAAAAACTTTTTTTTTTCTACATTTTTTCTACACCCTTTTCAGGCCCAAAAAGTTGTGGTCACCTCAAGAAAAAAAAAAAAAAAAAAAAAACTTGAAGACAAAAATGTTTTTATCTATTTACATTCAAAACCAAGCAAGACTAGTATGATATGATTGCCACAGTCAGAGATAAGCCGTCCCATCACCAACTTGGTGAGCAGAAGATTCTGTGAGTCCAGGTAGGGAGTTGAAGCCCCAAGCTGTTTTTTTTTGCACTGCAGCCACTGTCAAGCCTCTGCATGCTTGCCTTGCAACCGCTAACAAGCTGATGTTGAAGGGTCAAGATGACTGCAGGGGATTACACTCCCAAAACTTTGGTTGGGGCAGTGCCATGGGCCAAACTGACAGTACTGCTTCCATCAAGTATTCGTCCACCAGAACCTGTGGTGTAGGCAGCAGCCATAAGAGTAGTCACTGTGACCAATCATACATCAGCCAGGCCCCTGATTTGATTTGATGTGTTGTTGGCCCCAGCATCCAATGTAAGAATTGGTCCAGGAGACTGATTTCATATCAGTTTCCTCCACTTCAACTTACTACAGTACAACCAGATGGAAACAATGTTACAACCTGTTGGAATTGAGCCCTCATTGTTCCTTTCCTCTTTTCTTTTCTGTCACACACATGTCACTCCTTCCTCATCTGTCATTCTTTTCTCTCTCATTTCCAGATGAATATGCTTCTTCACCTTCTGTCCCACAACCAACACTGGGAAGTTACATAGGTTACAATATCTGGAGGGATTTTTGTAACGTAACTTTGCAGCGCATTGGATAACAACATTAGTGTTATCCAAAATGCAATCTTTTTTGACCGGTGAGTAACGTAACGAGAGGGATTTTACCCCTTGTTACGGAAGAAAACAACGCAAACAGCACGTTATCCACGTTGTGTGAGGGTAAACCCCCTCGTTATGTGTTTGTTATCCACACTTAATCGTGGTGGATAGTGTAAAACAAAAAAAGCTGAAAAAAGGAAAAAGAAAACATAACGGAAAGGCTTTTGCGGTTATTGTAATGCTAACGGCCACAATTCTGTTATGTTTTCTTTATTTTTTGTTACTGAAAACGTAAGCTCCCAGTGTTGCCACAACTCAGCCATAATTTGAATGTAGATAAATAACCATGCTTTCTGAGTAAGAAAATGAAATCATCAGTCTTCTGCAAACGTTTGCCTGTGGTCTCTAAAAGATACAACCACTTGTAGTGTGAGTGCTTTTCTGCCACACTCACACTAGCAGCTCATAGCCCCCTTTTGGGCTCTTTGCAGACCACCAATTTTTCTCTTGAGTCTTTTGCCTCAAGATTTGTTCCTCTGTCCTCAGTTCTCACCTCCTCATCCCAAAATTTCATCACAACCCCTTCTTGATCTGATTTCATTTCCTGGAAAGCCTTTCCTGGTGGGTCTAGTAGATACCTTACAGTGTGAGCTCCGAATTCTGGCCAAATATGTAATACCAAAACCCCCCAAAAAAACTGTGGTGTATAAGTCTATAGAGTTGAAGAGTGATACAAAATGAACATCTTGTTTCACTAGTAGGACACAAAGAATGCTTCAAGTCAAACACAAACCCAACTCCAAGCTGTCTGAGAAATGAAATATGTATGTATTTGCCATACTTGTTGGACCCACAGTAGATCAATGCTGACCATATCATCACAGTCACACCAAATATAATGACCAACCCACCACTAACTTTTTTTTTTTTGAAATGCAATTATAAACAATGAATTAAAAATCAAACCAAAATAAGAGTATTACAAGTCTATCCACAACCAACAAAGAAAAGAATACCATACACACACATATATATCAAAAGAGGAGGTGGAAAGAAAAAAAAGAAAAGAAACAATCAATCAAGGGTTTTTTTATGTTTATCATTTTGTGAATAAGTTTATATAGAAATAGGTTTTTTTTGTTTTATTGATCTGTTAATGTATGAGATTACATGTAATTTATTGTTCTTGTTCTTGTACTACTACTACTTTATATATATATATGTAATAATTGTTTCTAAAAATGAAGACAGGTGTAGTTGTTGATCATTACAGTCAGGTGTTAGATATGCAAATATGTAATATATATGTAAGTTATGTAAAAGTTGCATAATTTCAGACAACTACTTATGATTATTATTATAAAAAATGACAATAATTCAAAAAAAATGGAAACAAAAAAAAATGAGTTGATTGTTCAAGGTAACTAGCAATAACCAATAAGTAGAAGATAACAATAACCAAAAAAGGAGACAAAAAAAGTCAATTAGGGGGGGAGTTGAGAGTATGTAAGAAAGTGAAGAAAAGAAGCAGTTGGAAAAGTAAAGAAGATTAAAAAAAAAACGAGTTTCAGAAATAGAAGAACGAGAAGAAAAAGAAGACGAGATCAAAGAAAAGAGTAGTAGAGTAGTAGTAGTAGTAAGTAGTAAGTAGTAGTAAGTAGAAGAAGAAGAAGAAGAGTATACAAGACAACACTGATCCCATCCACCTCTTCCGCACAAACACCTACCACCACCTCTTTCTTCTTCTTCTTCATGAACTTACGATGACAAAGAGACGACAAACAACCTAAGAGTAGCCAGAATCGAACGCCGACACGGGAGGCTCATCTTGATCCTCCTCCTCCTCGTCATCATCATCATCGGAGAACGAGGGCGAGCGAAGACTGTCATGGTCGGCATGGCCAGAAGAGGAAGAAAGATCGAGGTGGTCGAGAGACTGTTGGATGTTATTCATCTGATGATACGAAGACGAATGGGGTGGTTGGTGATTATTGTTGTTGTTATGGGCGAGATGAAAGAGTTCCGATTCGCCATGATAAGAGAACCTAAGAAAAAACAAAATGATCGACCAAAAGTTAACAAAGACAAAATGAAAGAAAAATGAAAGGAAGAGACTGACCCAAGGAACTGATCCTGATCATGATTAGGATCCGAAGCTTTAGTGTCAAAAGTGAGAGGCGCAGCAGACGCAGGAGCAGGAGCGGAGACCGAAGAAGAAGAAGGAAGAGGCGGGAGATGAGAGGAGGCTGGGTTGATGGAGTGACCGGGCGAAACCGTCGACGTCGAGGCAGAGTTGGAAGGGACTTGGTGGGTAGCAGTAGCAGAAGGGAGGACAGAAGAAGGGACATAAGAGGCCTTCTTGACCCAATCGTCCGAGCGATCATTCTCATCAAAGCATTTGCCCACACCACCCACAGCACCATTAGAGTCCTGTACCAAGCGCTCCTTGATGGTGCTCGGCAGATGCTCGGAAATGTCCAAGGTGGTGAACTCGCGATCGAAGTTGGAGACCGACTCGTCCGACTCAATGTGCGGCTTGAACGTCGGGATCACTTCTCGTAGACTCAGCTTATGCCAGTCTATGCTCTTGAAAAACTCGTGCTTCTTCAGATCTTCCGTGTCGTTTTGCGAGCCTAATCTGTGCTTAGGATTTCGATTCAAAAGCTAACCAATCTCACCCCCAAAAAAATACACAAAAAACGTCAGGGTTATGGGTCTAAAAAATAAAAGAAGAAAACAAGCAGACTGACGCCTTTAACAAATTGTTTCCCTTCATCACCAATGACGCCTCTGGGAAATTTGATTTTACCGAAACAGATATTCTTATACATTTGCTGATTATCTTCGGCATAGAAGGGGGACCAACCGCAACACATTTCGAAGAGGAGGACGCCTAGAGACCAGAAGTCGACCAACTTAGAGTAGCCATGATCATCGAGGAGGACTTCGGGTGCCAGATATTCCGTGGTTCCACAGAAGGTGGTTGTTAGCTCGTCTTGGTTTAAGTTCGGCTTCGAGAGCCCAAAGTCGCATAGTACAATGTGTCCCGTCGCGTCTAAGAGGATGTTCTCCGGTTTCAGGTCCCGGTATACTATGTTGTACATGTGCAGATGCTCTAGCGCTAAAACTATCTCCGCCGTGTAAAAGCGCGCCCTTTCTTCAGTAAACCTTCCCTCCTTTTGCAAATGATGAAATAACTCCTATAGAATCGAATTGTTTTGGGTCAGTAATTATTAAAATAATATTTCTAATAGTGCAGAGAGAGAATCAAAAAAATGACGTACTCCACCGCTTTTGTAATCCATCACTAAGAAAAGTTCACCGGGGGATTGGAAGGAGAATTTGAGTCCAAGTAAGAAAGGACAATCGGAGGATTGCTGGAGGATATTACGTTCGCCGATGGTATGCTGGACCTCCTTCTTATCGATGACTTCCTTCTTGCTCAAGACCTTCATGGCATAGATCCTGCGGGTGTCCTTCTTGCGGACCTGGAAGACCCGGCCGAAAGTGCCCTTGCCGATCATCTTGAGGAACTCAAAGTCGCTCACATCCAATGACTTCTTCGTCCGATGCTCGTGGTAGCGCAGTTGGATCCGTAGCTCGCCTGGACTTTTCCCTTCTTCTTCTGGCTTGCCTGTCTTCGTCCCTTTCCGCATCGTCAAACTTCCACATTAACAAAAAAATACCCATTCAAATCAGCTTTTCTCTCACTTTTTTTACATTTATTGAATGATTTTTGGGTGAGGGGTGGCTTACGGATACCATTGATCGATCCAGCCTCCGATCCGACTAAGATGTTTGAAGTCCAACTTGATCTGAGTTTCGCCGAGGAAAGACTCGACGCCTTCGATGCCAGGGATGAGATGGCCGGGGATAAGTTGATCGGGATGGACGAGCGGGGAGGGGGTCCTGTTTGGATAGTCGCTCGAAGGCGTCGGTTTTGTCTGTTGTGGGGGTGCGGGCTGGCGGTGGCCATTGGTGTCGCCTAATGATCGGTCGTAGACAGAGAGATACAGCGAGTGGTGCGGGGAATAGACTGGCTTATGATGCGTTACATCACTACAAACATATATTCACATAAGTCAGTTCATGCGCAAAATTTCGTACTATATATATATATAGTTGGGGTGGACGGGGTTCTTGGGGGGGACACTGACAAATCTACCTCTTGTTTCCAGATTGGATTCTGGCCACTAAGACAGCGCAATCCGTTTCCCTGACTCTGATGCTCATTATTATTAGGAGTAGGGATGCGTCTATCCTCAGAAGAAGGAGGTAATTGAGGAGATTTGGAGCTGTCTTGGGATTGGGAGCGACTGATAGTAGATGTCGGCACTCCTCTGGTCTCTTCCTCCTCCTCGCCGATCGGCTCTCTGGATGCAAACTCATTATTGTCGAATGAGGCATAGACATACGGTCTCGAATTCGAGGCTGCGAAACGGAGCGCTCTGGCGGAGACGATCTTGACTTTCAGCAAGCCGATTGGGGGTAAGGTGAACGGGTTCTCTGTTGTTTCTGATGCTGCTGTTGCTGTTGATGATTTCTCTGATCTGGTGATCGGCTGATTAGTAAAATTGAACGAGTTCTTAGTGTTATGGTTCTTATTAGTAGTATATGTTTTGACGAAGGCTTTGAGGGAGTTAGTAGCCATGGAAGCAGGCTCTGGTTGTTGTTGTTGTGGGGTGTTAGTATTAGTAGTAGATGATGAGAAGTAGTTTTTCTTGGGCGATAAGGATTGGGGCATGGGAGTCTTTAGCTGATAGTCATCATTGCAGAGTGGTTGGTGCTTGGTGTTATCGAATGGGTCGATCTCAGTCGATGTTCCTGACTGTGCTGATGCTTTGGGAGTGAGCTGGTCGGTTGGGTTTCCTCTTGCCCAGACATTGAGCAGGCTCGAAGAAGATGGGGTTGAAGAATGAGGACTCATGAGGATGGTCAGGTGGGTTAGTAGTTAGTAGTTGGTTGGTTTTTGGTTTTTGGTTTTTTGGTTTTTGGTGGGCGGGAGAAGATCGAGGAAGTTTATATATCCACTCCGAGGCTGTGGTGGTACACTCCCCCCCTCCCCCCGGGGGTTCCACTTCCTTATAATTCTCGATGGGGCCACAAAAATAACAAAACAACATTCCCAACCAGGATAGGGTAAGCAATCCTTAGAAAATTGTAAATCACTCTGGCTCCATCGAACATATTTATGTTTAACTTTCATCGAACAAGTTTTCAACAAAACATTTTTCTATAGAAGATCTATTTTATCTTATCATCAACTGTCCTTATCAGAAAACTTACATGGAACACGGCTTTATACACGCGGTAGATATGTAACAACTGATTCAATCACCAAAAAATCATCTTGACACTGTATCTTCAGCAGTTTAGTCCGAAGAAATTTGTAAATGAACTGGAAAGCATCATCTGTTTAATGATCTCCAAAAAGAATAATAACTGTTCTTCGTGATAGCTAGTGAGTACTCAGTTGAGCTTAAAAAAATATCAGGGGATCTTGATGAATATACCCGTCCAAAAAAAAATAAAGATCAAATACTCGACCTCTATAACTACTACTAGCACATCCTTTTTCTTTGAGGGTAATGTACGGGCAGGGCGAGAGATAATTGAATTTACTGCTCCTATCAATCTGTTGAGATGACAAGGCGTCCTTCTCGTATTGACATCATCCGGACAGCACAATGTTATGGAGCTCACAGAAACAAAAAATCGCGTTTGTATCATAGTTATACCTTGATGGTGGTGTGAGCGAAGAGCCCCTAGAAGAGGGCATTCATGAAGGATGTGCTCTGATGAGAGCAACAATGAGACACAGTACAGGACGAAAGTTGATGATGATCCACTAGCCATCGTTGAACGTATTCTTGTAAGCCCTTCGGGATCATATTGACCGGCGTTTTTTTTTTGTACGGATACCAGATAGAGTCTGGGAAGGACTCTCTTGATCATATCCACGCGTTCATGAAGGTGTTATATAAGGCGCAAGAATATCTGCATACTGTCCTTGTGAGCTGGCTCGTCTTTTATTTGTCGACTAAAAGCACGGGTAATTTGGTTGTTGTTCTTCTCCTTCTCTCTGGTTTCTGTTTCGAGAATGCGTTATGTATCTGGCCGGATAGCTCTCAGCTTCTTGTGTAACTACATGACTAGAGCGTCCTTCTTTTTTGGTTATCCTAAGCGACTGCCAACTCGATTGTATATGAGTTAAAGATCCAAGTTGCAGGTCAAGAAAAGGTCGTTATGGTTGTAATTCATGTCTTGGATATGACCCAACGGATGTGATTTGATTTTTTGGCAGGACTTTTTCTTTTTTTGAAGAACAATGCATGGTTTGGTTCTTATAAATCGATGATATGCCCACCCGCGAAAAAAAGCAGGCGAAGGAGATTTGGAGGGGTTTTACGGTCACATATTAGTGGCCACTTCCCTCTTCTTTATGGCGTCTGATATGACCTGCGACCGACTTTGTCGGTTTCAAGTTATAGCTAGGGGAGGGAAGGGGAGAACGAGTTACAGATTGGTTCTTGTAATAGTAACAGTAATGAATACTGAAATCATCTTCATCTGTCGAACTTACAGTCACTTCATAGTTAAAAAAAAAGGATCCTGACACTGGAAAAAGTAACATCTAAAAATATCGGTGTAGGGTCTCGTTGAACAGAGAGAGTATGGATGTGTCGTTGGGATCGGCACCGGGTTCGGAAAGAAGCGTATGTAACTCATCAACCGTTTCTTCTTCCACTTCATGAACTTCTGGCCCCATACGGATGTGTAACTTGGTGAAGATTAAAGACTTTGATCTGGTCTCCGGGAGATTCCGTCCAACCGTCGACGAGTCAGCCGTCTCTTGTACACATAGAGTCCATCGCGGTCAACCGCAGTCATCCCCTGCAGGGCCCCGGGTCATAAGTTGGTTGGGCGAATGGATTCATGAAAGAACAACGGGATGATGTTTTTTTACACTGTTTTGGACGCTTCTTAACCGATTTTATAGAGCTGCACGTGACCGAATGAAACGCGGCTGATTGTACAATGAGGTGGATTAATACGGACCAATATGGGCTACGGACCGGTACGCAAAATGTGCTGGCTATCATCTAGACCAGGAAAAGTAGATGCAATCGAAAACTTGAACAGCACTACACTTGGGCACTGTCCAGTCACTAGCTAAAAGTGGTTGCCATCACGGGTCAGATGGCTGCGGTGATATAGGAGGAAATCGTCGCGTGTTCTGAGGTTTATGAAGAGTACTTCAGACCGTTTAGTGTATGTACTCAAGCTGCGAAGATGGATTCTGGATGCGCTCACAAATAGTCGCCACTCCTGAGTTTATGATAAGATTCTCATCATGCCCTAGAACCTTTGTCTCTTGGTTCTTGAAAGTAAATATAGCTTGAAGAGGTTTTGGCCAGTGAACGCGTCGGAACTCTCCTGTAAAGACGCGCCCTCAAGGGGACACTCCCTGTATGAACTCACTACTTCTCTCTGTTTCTCTGGATGGAGATCGCTACTTTGTTGCGGCCGGCACTGCGGCTGCGGGCAGTGCGTCTGTCATTTCGGCTCAACAACACAATCGCTGACGCGTTCCAGGTAATCCATCAAAGAAATGAGAAGATAAGGGATACAATTCCATGTTTTACAAAGAGAGAATAGAATACAAGACTTCGATTTGATAATTCCGAATTTTGAAAGTGTTACAGATATAAAAAACTATAGGATATGTTATACAATTTGAGGAAGAAGATTTTTTAAGGGAAGAGGAAGAACAATTCAAGTCAAGTCAAGAGAGACCCAGTCAGATGCAAGATCATTGTCTAGCTGGACCCAGTCAGAGTCGGGTTCATCATCTGCAGCAGCAGCTTGAGGAGCGGGAGATGATGGGCGAGTGGATGGGGCAGCCGAATGAGGGCCACCAGGGGTGCCGAGGTTGTCGTTTCCATCATCGGCAGCATGAGCTAGAGGAGCGCCGAGGTTGTCAGGTTCATCATCGGCAGCAGGAGCTTGAGGAGCGGGAGATGATGGGCCAGTGGATTGGGCAGCCGATTGAGGGCCACCTGGGGTGCCGAGGTTCTTGATCGGGACGGGCTCAGGGATCATCCGCACGACCCAGACGCGGGGGTGGACTACTTGAGCGGGGTTCTTCTGGACCATCTGTTGCGCAGTCTGCATCTTCGCCTGGGTGTTCACGTGAAGATCTAGCGTGACTTCGTCCCGAAGAGTCTGTACGAAGTCTCGGTCCTGGAGGTCACGCCTGTACTTTAGGAGCGCCTCTTCAGAAATTGATGGGGGAAGGGTTATTGTCAATACAACTATTGTACCGAGGATAGATGGAAACTCAATTGGGTAGTGAAATTACTCACTGCACAATTGTGCCTTATCAGTTTTGTTAGAGGGGTTCATCTTGAGAGTTCTTCAGTGAGTAGGGGTTCTAGAAAAGTGATCCGAAAGGGAAAGAAGAATTAGAGAAAGATTTGCTGGTGAGGAAGGAGAGATGATGCGGACTTGAGAGTAGGTAGCTGTAAGTAGGACTATCTCTTACCTTAAGCTTCGGGCTGGATGAAGGTTGGATGAAGGTGGGGTGGAGGTGGGAGGATAGAGGTGGGAGAAAGAACACTTGGATGGTTTGTGATGGACGGCAGAGGAGGGAAAGACCGGCTTTTTATAATGCACACCTAAGGCTGAACCTCGCTTCTGCTGCTGCTTTCTGCTGCCGGAAACTTCCCCCCTTGTTCACTCTCCACTGCTGCCGAACGGGAAGGGCCTCAGCAGCTGAGCCTAATTGAATCCCTCAGCAGCGCGCCAAAGAGTAAAAATGTTGCGAGACTCAGCTAAATTGAACCGCCACCAACTTCCGTTAGAACCTGTGTTCCAATCAACTAGTTGTCCGGCGACGGAATCTTTGGCTCAGCCCGGAGAGTTAAATTATGTTCAAGGCAGTTGACCCCGACCTGTAATTAGCGAACAGAGAATCCAAATGAATCACATCTTTGCCGGTTGGGAATAAGGTTGAGGTTAGCGACAAACACTGAAAGGGTCCTGGCTCCGTTGAGCAAAGCTCAACAACACTAGCCGCTACGCGGTGAAGATGTGAGGAGATTAAGTTGAGGCGACCAGCGGCCGGCGGTACCTTTGACCTACTAAGCTTGTTACGCGGCCGCGGAATCTTTCGTCCAGCCAGGAGAGTCAGATTTTGTTCCAAGAAACTTGCCCATGACCCGTAGCTATACAGTTATCAGAAATTGACAAATCTTTTACGGTTACGGTTAGGGAAAAGGCTGCGGTAAAAGAAAAGGACCGGAAGTTGAGCTAAGCTCAACAGAACTAGCCGCTACAAGGTGAAGATGAGAAGGGATTAAGTTGAAGTGAGCCGCCACCAGCCGCCGTTGATACCTTTGTTATCCGGTCACGGAATGGTTGGTCCGGCAGTGTAAAATGATTTCACGCAAGTCAAGGGCACCAGGAATGATTATATGTATGAAGGAGGCAAACATTGAGCACTGAATTGATTGAATGATTCAGACAGAGCCGGGAACATTAGTTTGCAAGCTGAAATATAAACTCCGCATGCTTCACACAAAAAACCCACCGGGGCAATAAGCCTTTTATGAGCAGCCCACATCGCGGAAGTCGTGTTTGCCTTGCCAGAAGGATTGTCCCCTCCGTCTTGATTCTGGAAGCAAATCTCAAAGTTGCAGTAAAGTGCTCCCAAATGTAAAAGTCATAGGTAGATACAGTAAAAAAAATTACAAAAATAGAAGTTGCGAGTTGTCATGCATTAGAACGTTTGACTCAGCTCAAGTGGTTGCAGTGATTCAGGAAAAGGGAGAGTATCGCTTGCTTGAGGCCTATAACAGTACCCAGACCGGTCAGTCCTGAAGTCGCAAAGATTCAATCTAGATGCTCTCACAAAAGTCCCTGCCTGCAGGGTTATGTTTAGATTCATATCATGATGTAGCTGCCATAGAAATGATCATGGTTAATTCCACCATAAACTTTCTCTCTTACATCTGGGGGATATATATACCACGAAATGGTTTTCTGGAGTGCACGCGCTGAAACTGCAAGTGTCAACTGTGACTCTGTGGAAACCCGCCATCAATAAGGCGCCCCCCCCCCCCGGAGAGCTCACTCACTCATCTTCTTTCTCGGAGAGATAAAGCTACTTCTTTGCGGGCGTCGTCACTGCGGCTGCGTGTAGGACGTCTGCCATTTCGGCTCAACAACACACTGGCCCAGCCTTGGTGGGTAATTCAGCAAAGGCAAGCAAAGCTCGCGCGGAAATGAGAAGATAAAAGATAAATTTCCATTGTTTCCAAAGAGAGAATAGAATACAAGATTTAGATTTCATAATTGCGAGGGCAGATAATTTTGAGTGTTACAGATATGAAAAAACTAGGATATGTTATACAATTTGGGGAAGAAGATTTTTAAGGAAAGAACAAGAAAAATTCAAGTCAAGTCAAGAGAGACCCAGTCAGATGCAAGATCACTGTCTAGCTGGACCCAGTCAGAGTCGGGTTCATCGTCGGCAGCAGGAGCTTGAGGGGCGGGAGATGATGGGCGAGTGGATAGAGCAGCCGAATGAGGGCCACCAGGGGTGCCGAGGTTGTCGGGTTCATCATAGGCAGCAGGAGCTAGAGGAGCGCCGAGGTTGGCAGGTTCATCATCGGCAGCAGGAGCTTGAGGAGCGGGAGATGATGGGCCAGTGGATTGGGTAGCCGGTTGAGGGCCACCTGGGGTGCCGAGGTTCTTGATCGGGACGGGCTCAGGGATCATCCGCACGACCCAGACGCGGGGGTGGAATACTTTAGCGGGGTTCTTCTGGACCATCTGCTGCACAGTCTGCATCTTCGCCTGGGTGTTCACGTGAAGATCTAGCGTGACTTCGTCGCGAAGAGTCTGTACGAAGTCTCGGTCCTGGAGGTCACGCCTGTACTTTAGGAGCGCCTCTTCAGAAATTGATGGGGGAAGGGTTATTGTCAATACAACTCTTGTACTTAGGATAGATGGAAACTTGGGTAGTGAAATTACTCACTGCACAATTGTGCCTTATCAGTTTTGTTAGAGGGGTTCATCTTGTGAGTTCTTCAGTGAGTAGGGGTTCTAGAAAAGTGATCCGAAAGGGAAAGAAGAATTTGAGAAAGATTTGCTGGTGAGGAAGGAGAGATGATGCGGACTTGAGAGTAGATAGCTCAAGTAGAGATATCTCTTACCTTAAGCTTCGGGCTGGATGAAGGTTGGATGAAGGTGGGGTGGAGGTGTAAGGATAGTGGTGGGAGAAAGAACACTTGGATGGTTTGTGAGAGACGGCAGAGGAGGGAAAGACCGGCTTTTTATAATGCACACCTAAGGCTGAACCTCGCTTCTGCTGCTGCTTCCTGCTGCCGGAAATTTGCCCCCTTGTTCATTCTCTACCGCTGCTGAAAGGGAAGGGCTTCAGCAGCTGAGCCTGATTAAATCCCTCAGCAGCGCGCCAAAGAGTAAAAATGTTGCGAGACTCAGCTAAATTGAACCGCCACCAACTGCCGTTGGAACCTGTGTTCCAATCAACTAGTTGTCCGGCGACGGAATGTTTGGTCCAGCCCGGAGAGTTGAATTATGTTCAAGGCAGTTGACCCCGACCTGTAATTAGCAAACAGTGAATCCACATGAATCTCATCTTTGACGGTTGGGGCTAGCACCAAGCACTCTCAGGGTTCTGGATATGTAGAGTAAAGCTAAACAGAAACAGCAGCTACGAGGTGAGGAGGGCAAGAGATCCAGTTGAGCCTGTGGGGAACCTTCACCAGCCGCCGTTGGTACCCTTTCTCTAATAAGCTTGTTGCCCAGCTATGGAATCTTGGTCCACCCGGGCGTGCCAATTCTTGTTCAAAGACAGTCGCCCGCGATCCAACCAATAAATGGTTGATTAATAAAGAGAGATAATAGATGAATCACTTCCTTGACAGTACCGGAGAAAGTTGGGTTTAAGCAAAAGTACTAAAAAGGTGCTGGCTACGCAGATAAGAGTTCAATAGCAGTAGGGTTACGGTAGGACAAATAGTAGTGTAACATTATTCAATGTGGGTCAATGGCATCAGGAGTGAGTGCCTTCCGAAAGGAAGGCAAAAACGATGGCTGCAGAACGTACTTGGCGTGATTCAAACCTCAAGCATAGCCACAGTGCCGGCAAAAGTGGTCAGGCCGGACTGCCAAATCTGGATACTGCACACAACAGCCCCCACCAAGCTTATCAGACTCTCATTTCATGAGCAGATTCCACGGTGAAAGTCATGTTTTCCCCACCATCAACTTGACCCTTTTGGTCTTGATTCTCTTGAAAAGATTTCAGATTGAACTTGTCAAAATGCCAAGCGAAAAAAGACACCTAAAATATAAACAGCTCCCAAAGCCAAATAATGCAAGCTGCGCAAGGAACCTCTCTTTCGGAGCGAAAGCTGCTCCGGTCGCTATACTACGCATGAGTGCCGCCTGCCATTCGGGTAATTTATAAAAGGCAAACCAAGCTCGCGGCTCAAATAGAGGATAAAAGATAATTTACAATTTTGAAAGAGGGATCAGAATACAAGATTGAGATTTAATAATTCAAAAGGAAAGAGACATAAACTACGCAGTGATACATTGTTTCAAAGATATTGTCAAGGAAAGAAGAACTACTTTGATTCAAGTTAGACCCAAACCAAGGTCGAGTTCGTCAAGAGGTTGGCTCGTTCTGAGAGCAGCAGCCGCGTCGGCATCAGGAACTTGAGGAGCGGCTGATGATCGGCGAGGGAATTGACCTTGGGCATCCGAATGAGGGACAGGAGGGGTGCCAAGGTTTTTCACAAGGGCGCTGTCATCGGTGAAGCGCAGGGTCCAGAGCCGGGGGTGGTCAACTGAATCTTGGAGAGTGAATTCCTTCCTGACAAGGTCCTTCAAAGTCTGCATCTTCGCCTCGGTGGTCAATAAAAGATCCTTCTCGCATTTTTCCTTGGGGGCACGCTTCTGCCTTAAGATCATATCTTCATGAATAGATGAGGAAGTGATACTGTTAGTTGAGCTGTCGCTTGGCCTTCGAAAACAATTATTGCTGGTGAAGTCACTCACGAAGCACTTGCGTGGTTTCTGGTCGGGGAGAGGGTCTCATCTTGAGAGCTCTTTGGTAACTATGTGTTCTGGCAAGCTAAGAAACACTCTGGTGAGGAGGGAGAGGTTATTCGGAATTTAGAGTGGGTAAGAGAAAGTATAAATGTTTCTTACTTCAAGGGTTAGATGGATGGGGGATAGAGGATGGAGTAGGGCGTGGGTGAAAGGACACTTGAATGGTTTGTGGAGACGGCAGAGAAGGGAAAGCCAGGTTTTTATATGCACACCTAAGGCTGAGCCTCGGTTCTTCTGCTGCGTCCTGTCGCTGGAAGCTTCTCCCCGTGTTCACTCTCTACTGCTGCTGAAAGGGAAGGGCTTCAGCAGCTGAGTCTAATTGAATCCCTAAGAAGCACGCCAAAGGGTGGAAATGCTGAGAGATTCAGCTAGTGAACCGCCACCAACAGACGTTGGAACCTTTGTTCTGCTCAACTGTTTGTCCGGCGGCGGAATGTTTGGTCCACCCGGGCAAGTTCAATTTTCTTCAAACACAGTCGCCGCGGACCCGTAATTAGTAAACAGAGATTAAAAGTGAATTACTTCTTCAACGGTTAGGCATAAAATGTTGGCGTTGGAGAAAAGTAGTAAACAGGTGCGGGCTAAGCAGAGCAAAGCTGAATGTTGTTGACATACTGACGAATTGATCCCCAGTGTGGGAAACAGGGGTAATCCATTGTTGGTGTACAAATTCCCAATTCCACTGAAGGAAACATTATACATCTATCTTTTTAAAAATTCATCGAAGGGTTTTGGATGAGGGAAAGGAACCGCAAGAAAAAGCTCAGAATATCAATGCTAACTAGAATCAGTGAGGAATGAGGTCAACCAATCAGTTTCGCGTGTTTGCAATGTTAGTATTGAGCAAGCCCTGTCGCGGGTCCTTAAACTCGTAATTTTAATTGTTGGTAATTATCTTGTGTTCTCACTTGATATCCTCAATATTATACTTTGTCTTCAGAGCACTCTGAAAGCTCATCGGCTTCGGGAGTGCGATGGCGTTCAGAGAAGGTCAAGCATGATTTGACTTGTCAGACGACCGGAAAAGTTTAACCAAAAACATCCACCCTACTCATGAATTGCGAAGGGGTTGCGAAACTGAGATAACCTCGATTATAAATCAAATGGAGCACTGTTTCCTGGAGGCCAGGTTGCACGATTGCATCATCATGTTGCCCGTCTACTCGGCGATGGGATCCTTATTCAGAGGCAGAAGAAGTTGAAGAGAAGGTGTAAAATTACATGGTGGAAAAGGCATGTCATACAGGATTGATAGTTACAAAATTTTCCAAGTCAAAAGATTCATCATATGTTATACATTCCGTCAGGCAGGTTCAAGGAGGAATAAAATTTTCGATGATTGTATGCAATTTGAATAAATCATCTAAGTACCCAAGCTCAGGAGGGAAAATGACAAGATTAAATCATCAATGTCTCGATCAAGTTCCCTTGTCAGTCGGTGTCTAAGTCGGCCTTGTGAAGTCGGGCGTGGAACCGGAGGAGTGCCATGGTTCACCTGAGGGGTTGAGTTGGATTGCCTCTGTAAGGTCCAGATTCGTGGATGAGTAACAATACCAGAAAGGTCGTAAACTCTCAAATAAAGTTCCCTCAAAGTGAGGATCTTTGATTCCACGCGCAAATGAAGATCCTTCTTTAATTTCGGTCGACGGCCACGTCGGGAGCCTACGGGGTCAGCGGCGCTCTCGTACCTTGGAAGCAACTCTTCAAAATAAGAGAGAGGTGGTCATAACGTCAGTGGATGGCTAAAGCTTAGGAGGGAAAGTTGCCTGGAAAGATTGCTCACCAACCACTTGGGTCATTTGATCTAGGAGAGAGTCATCCATGCTGAGAGTCTTTTGGCTACCGTTCTTTTTAGTTCTGGAGGATGATAAGAAGAGGAGAAATTGGATCGTTGGCTTTTGGCTAGGAGGGAGAAGTGTGGGGTATGGAATATGAACCTTTGTCGCCTTGTGATTTCTTTTATCTAGAGGGGGATGGGGGAAGAACGCTTGGGTGGATTGTGAGAGGCACCATACACCGGAAAGACTCTGGCTTATTTATATTCACGAACTTGACGCGGAGCCTGGCTGCTGTTGCTTTCGGTTAGCGGAAGCTGCTTTCCCTGCTCACTAATGTTGCTGAACAGGAAGCTCTGCAACTGCTGAGCTTCGACGAGACTGAGCAGCGCGCCATTCAGCGGAGGTGCTCATGAGAGACTCACTTAAGATGAAGGAGACACGGAAAGCTGCTGTTGGCACCATGGTTCCGAAATCCAATCAGCTTGTTATTCGCAACTTGTGACCAAGTTGCACATTAAATCCTGTCTTTGGGATCTGGCTCCAAGCTATCTTGAGTACATAGCGTACCAAGGATGACTGTCGATTCCGATATCGCTTCTGGGTCTATGGACTCACCTCAATTTACCGGATCTTTCTATAATATCTTCACTTGAACTTCGCCGCAATGGCTACTCACTTTTCCGGTGGGGGAAACGTGAAAATTTTAGACCAACAGTTCTGAAACTCGCGGAAGAAAGCCTCATAGGCATCGCTTTCGAGCAATCCATTGACACTTATGAGGGTGGCGATGGAAAAGCTGAGAATATCAGTGGTGACCCGAATTACTGGGAAGTAACGAGCTGAAATAATTGTCTTCAGGGTCAATACCGAGTTTTATCCCATGACCTTATCACTAAAATTCCTCCGATTACGTTATATCACCACATCGTGTCTTCATTGGTCATTTCATCTGGCCTTCAGATCGGATTAAGCCTTTCCTAGCAACCATCCCCAGCTTTGGGAAGTACAACAGCGTTCAGCCAACCTCTGGCCTGAAATTCCTTGAGATGATCGAGAATTTTTTGTTTTTGGGGGCGTTTCAAATGTACTCAAGGTAGCAGCACCCCAGCCAATGATTTGAGAGTGAGTTGGGAAACTGAAGTTACGTCTATCCGGAAGGGCAACCTTTGCTGGGTTCACTGGACCTGTCTGCCGCCCGCCGGGCAGGCCAGACGATGCTGCGACCTGCGGTCAACTCCCCCTTTACCACATTGCGGTTGACCCAGAGACCGAAGAAGCTCAAAGCTGGAAGGCGAAAGAGAGAGGAAAAAATTACACTGTGAAAGACGGATGGTACACAAGATTGATACATAACGATTTCAATCAAAAAGAATAAGTGAAACTGTGAGGTTATAAACTAGATTTTGCGCCAAAGATGTTTGGAGAAGGAACAAATTTTTGGTGGGTGGCCCTGGGCCTGGGTGACCATCCGAAATTCGTGTAAATCATCTATGTGCCAAATTCAAGACAGGAAAAAGACAAGATCAAATGATCGATGTCCGGTTCAAGTCATCTTGATGGTCGGGATCGAAGTCGGCCTTGCAAAATTAAGTGTGGGCCCGTGGAGTGTCATCGTCTTTTAATTTTGAGGGGCAGAGTCAAATTGCCTCCAGTTCCAAATCCGGGGATGTCTTCAAGCTCTAGGTTGAATGAGTCGCAAACTCTTACATAGAAGTACCAGCCGAGGATAACTGGGGATTCTGAGAATGCTTCTGTCTACCATCCCACCCTTATTCCCCGGATTCTCGTATCTCTTTATGTGAACAAATCGAAAAGCTCACTATGAATTGGATGAAATGTAACGCTGTAGTATTTTTAACTTGCATTTTTTTATGCATTGATTTTTTCGTTAACTTGCAGGAAACTTCATATTTTACGTTTTTCGTTATCAATTATTTAGATTTCTTTGTGTCGGTTGCCACAACCAGGAAACTTCATATTAGACTGCTAAAGCAACATATGCGCCCATTTTTTGACAATCTGCTGTGATTCTTGTGACCTCGGTAGGTCACTAGCTACCAAAACGACGTCTTCCCTGGCGAGCTGGTGCGGTGCACCAATCTTTCTCATGAAACTCTGTTGAGATGACCCGGCCAGACCTTGACTGGGACCCAAACAGCAACACCTGCGGTTCTGCACCAATGAAACTAAGTCTGCATAGGATTTCAAGGCTTAAAATATTCAGATTGTTGCATCACATCAACCAGATGTCCACTCCAGGTAATTCACGACAATAAATTGAAAATATAAAGAAAATTGAGATAAAAACAGATTGGCCAAAAGAAGCAAGCTAATCAACCGCAGGTGAAGTACTTCCCTGGAATGGCAGCCGGACAACCCTGGGTATCTTTTGAAAGATCGCAGTCGGATCTTCATTTTTGACATTTTTATAAGGTGAAATCATAAAAGATACATCAGCACTAAATAAAGAGTCGTCATTTACAATGATAGTGTGACCACTTACGGGTTTTCACAACATCGAAGGCAAGCTCGATTGGCCGAAGGTTCAATCAGTTGCACGTACGTATGGTAACTGAAGATAATTAGGAGTTCATGAAAAAAAATTAACACGAAGGAAACAGCCAGACCTGCTATCGATTCAGAGAAAGTTGGTCAGAATCCCAGAACTTACTTTTTGCAGAAGCTGTATGGTGGGTTTCCTAGGCTGCGATCCCCACCGTTGGAATCGTATTGACCTCCTCCATCATCCGCCTTGAGTCTGAATTGGAAAAGTAAGCCCAAAAGCCAAATTAATAGTAACAAAACGCGTCAAATATGTGCCGCCTGGAAGATATCGTGAAAGACAAGGCTGACCTATCGCAGCTATTGACATTGATGCATCCGGTCATCTAGTTACCAACAAAGTCAGTTTGATTTTTCTTTCAACAAAACCCAAAGAAGATTAAACAATCGAACCTGGATGACTCCATTTTTTGGCTTAGAAATATCAACAGCGGTCCAAAATGGGCCATTGAAGACTCCTGCAGAGGGAGAGGTCTTGCTGCTGGGATTTTGGCACCAGACTGTTTCACCACCTGGTTGTTCGGAGTCGCCGATGGTCGTGTATTGGTTCTTTGGAACGACCAAACAAAAATCGTCCTTCGTGTCGATTTTCACTTCCAGAGGCGCGTCATCCTGTCTCGAATGTGATACCGCGAGGAAGCAAACAAGCAGTAGCAAATGTTGGCAAATCGAATTCATTTTTCTGGGTTGTATTCATTCAACCACAATTGGGTGAGCAAAATAGAGGAGGGAAAAGATCAGTCGGACTGAGTGTAAGCCTTGCCAATTTCAAAAGTTTGTGATCTCACTAGTAGGGATTGGTTTAAAAAATCAAGTAAAGTACCGTTGTGCTGATGTTTTTCGTCTTGGAGTACTTCTTGTAAATTGTATGGGTTGAGAGTAAGTTCAGTGGGAGTTAGGAATGCTGTGGCAATTGTTGATGCCCGGGAAACGAGTATGCGGGTATTTATATTTTCAGAGGTAGGATGGGAAAAACGATCCGAAAGGGTACGATGATGGCCGGTGAGGCATGCGATTAGCAAGAAGGCTAGCTATTTAACATCCCCCGTTTTCCGCTCTCCATATGAACCTCGCGTTCAGACAATACACATTCAGGATTCAGCCCTAGGGCAGTCGAAGCTGTGACCTGGTGGAAGTTGATCAAGGAGAGATGGTCTGAGAACCGAAATGGTACTGCATAGCGTATGGAAAGTGTGTATTGCGAAAATGGTATTAGTTATACACGAGGCGATGAGGGTGCTACGCCGGGAGGTTCGGGCCGGGCGCGGTTCAGCTGAAACATACTGGCAAGCAGTGCAGCCTGCAGAACAGATTCAGCAAAAACGGTAGCCAATCACGAGGTCGCCGTCTGGCTCTGTAGTGTGTCATCGAAGTTGAGAGATGTCCCCGCCCAGCAATACCACACACCTGATCAGATTGAGCTGCTGGTGGGAAGGTGATGATGGGAACTGGAAAGAAGAATTTGCTCAACGTCCGGAGTCCCCGAGCCGAGATTTTCGAGTAAACAGCAGCGCTCACAACACATGCTTCCGTCCGTTCCGTCCTGGCGTCAAACTCAGAACTTTTTTCGCCTGCTGCAAGCAAATCACGCGCCCTGCAGCTCCCTGTCAATATAACTTCTGATCATTGGAGTGCGGCGGGTATAAGCTGACCCAGTCTCTCCGGACCGGACCCAACTTAGTGTGATCCCGGCTGGCCCCTCGTGGGATGGGCCTCGCGCTCGGCGCGCGTGGCATTCAGTACGTTGAGTTCGGGTAGATTCGTGCCCGGCCGCCGGCACACTCCATTTGCACGATGCAATGACAGGCAAGATTAGTCGGGTAAATTTAAACACGCCGAAACTTAAAACCCACCATCCGCACGGCTACGTGGACTTTCTTGGACTCGGAGGCATGGTGCAGCTTGCGCTGGTTTGCTTTCCATGTGGGGATCAAGTTTCAAGACCAAAAGAGATTGTCATCTGGTGATGTGTAAGTCGCCACGATCGGTTGCCTCGGCCTGCTCAATTTTTTTTTTTGCCACCTGATTTTGGTTGGACTTGGACGTCCAATGCTGGAATAGCCCCCGCGGAAGAAGGCATTTGCACAGGATTGCACTAGGCATGGGCTGCTGTAAGTTCCAAAAATATAGGCGGCTGATTTTATTTTGCGAAGCAATTATCAGTTATTTCGAGCTAATTAGTTACACCCCCCAAACTGACAGCTTGCCAGCTAGCCTCTTCCACTGATTTTCGTGTTGGGGATTGAAATATAAATAGAGGAATAAGGTGTGTTTGAGGGGAAGCTCAGCCGATACTCAACTTTCTTGACGCTGAATGGTGATTCAAGGGTACAAACATATAAAAACATGAATGTTCCTTTTCCCTTGGTTCATTGGTTTGTCACAGGAAAAAGATTTGCAAGAGGTGAAGATTTCCGCAATCCGAATCCGGATCGTGCTCCGAGCGGACAGTGTAGCCGTCGGGTCACCGATACATGCATCCATTGTTCCAGCTGGCAGGCAGCCTCACCGTTGTCCATCTCATCTCCGGTTCCTCAACCATGGCTCACTCGACCGCTTCATGCTCTTCAGGATCTGATACCGAACTAGACTTATGGGCAGAATTCCCAGATGCTGGAGGAGATGGACCGTCTGAAAATAAACCACGAATAGGTCAAGATGGACCGTCTGAAAACAAGCCATCAACAGGTCAACCAGCCGACCAACCACTAGACACCCCTCATCGAATCAAACGTTCAAGCTCGACCGAGGAAACCGCTATCGATCCAATACCACACAAATCGTCGGAGAAACGTGCCCGTGAACCCGATGATCAGGACAAGTCGAACGATCGTCCTCTCAAGATCCAATCCACCTCTTCCCACAGCCCTCAAACTCAAAAACCATCTAAAAGCTCACCAATGAACCCGAAAAGCTCACCAATTAACCCCAAAAACTCACCAATGAACCCTAAAAGCTCACCAATAAATCCACCAGCAGCTACGAAAAATGAAGACTCCGATTCTCAATCTCTCGGAAATTTGACCTGTGCCATCTGCCTCAGCGCGCCCTCGCCCGCAGTAGTCACCAAGTAAGATTAAACCATTATCATATCGGTTCGATTCAAGAAAAGTTGATCGTGTTTTTTTTTTGGTTTTTGTTCTTTCGGGGGTTACTTACGACGGGAACGAACAAAACAAAAGATGTGGACATGTGACGTGTGGGGAATGTCTAGCATCTTCGATTGTCTCACAACATAACAGTTCATATGGCGTATTTCCACCATTTTTGCAACCGGTTGGAGCCCGAATCAACAATGGACAGTGAGTCGAACGTTCCTTCGATTGCGATTCATCTCACTCTCATCTAATGCTTTCTTTTCGGATGATTTCTGTCAAGATGTCCGGTTTGTCGGGCCCCTTTGGTCGGCGGATGGGGCACTGCAATGCGAGGAGTCATCTTGAAAGTCCGAAAGGCTCCCTGAGTCTTTCTTCAAACTATTGACATTCTTCTGAATCATAACCCTTGCGGGAAAAGAGGAAGTGCCTGTTGTAGACTATGTTTTGATTTATCTCTGTACTCGCAACCAACCCACTTCTTTCTACTCTAAGGAAGACTATCATTTAGTGCGTATTTGTATGTATGTAACTACCCCCAGCTCTTCTTCTTCTTTGAAACTAGACTTGTATTTAGATAATTGCCAGCTTCATATCAGACTATATTGAAAGACTATTGCTTGCTAATGCTTGTCTAGAGGGAAAAATCTAACAGGCGGAATTTCTGCTCTGTGCCATTTTTTCTGTCTATCTGTCCCACTTTGTGCTATGAGGGGGTCAAGAATCTGATGCACCATGTCGTGAGGAATCTCTACCCACGTAGGAGTTCCTTCCACAATCAGACAACGGCCAAGTGAGAAAAGAGAACCATCTGCAAGTAAGAGAAGAACTTTGTTTCGAGAGGGAACATCTCGATTCTGTTCTGACTACATTGTGTTCTACTTTTTCGACAGAGCCTCATGCTCATACCTGTTACCCTACACCTTCCAACGATAGCCACCAACGATTGCCACACACTGTTGCCACCAAGGAGTGCACCGGTGAACGGCAGCCACCAACGAGAGCATCCGTGAATGGCAGCCACCATCCGGAGCGTGGCATGGGAATATTAAATGTCCCTCAATTCGTCGCCCGTTCCAACCCTTTCCAAGTTTCCCAGTTTTGCAAGTTTCCCAGTTTTTTCTATAAAAGCGGTAACCCACGTCGCCATTCGAGCTTCATAGATCCATACACTCCCCCAATCCAACCCAGAAGCGACATCAGACAGTAGACATGGCATTGCATCGAGTCGTTCTCGTCGTCCTAATCAGCTTGCTGAATCTCCAGAGCTCCCTCCAACAAACCAAACCACCATCTCTCAAAGATATTACGTGCGGTCGCAAAAAGGAGTTGCAGGCAGGTGATTGCAAAGCGTGAGCTTCCCGGTTTTACCCTTGAAAAGTTTTCAAAAATTCTCTCCCATTATAAAGCCCTGTCAATCAACCGGAGCATTTACCTCATTGACATTTGCATTCTCTTCTTTGTCAACCCCAAACCAATACAGTGCATACCGCAAAATTATCTATGATGGAGATTCAACCCTTGACCACAATGAAAGGAGTGTTGAAAAGACTTCTGGAAGCTGCGTTGTACGTTCGTTGATTTTGATTCACCCAGACTCTCTGTGGATGTTAATCATTAATCTTCTCCACTAGACACACATCGAGAATATAAAATGGCTGAAAGTGTGAGTTAAAGAATCTTTCAAAGATTGCCCTTGTGTCATTGTCAAATCAACAAACAAGTGAATATTGCTTTGTTTCCAACAGCCCCAAGGCAATCATTGAAAATGGATTTGACCAAATTTTAGCGAAATGTCATGGTTATGTGCGTTCATACTCTGCAACTTTTCTCAATCATAACCAGAGGGGGATCTCAGAATGCTGATTCCAACAGATAATTTTGGCATCACGTTTAGGCTGGTAATGCGACTCTCCCAGGTTTCGATGGGGTTCGCTTGTTGACCAGGCACCATAAGGGTCCAGATGCATCTGCCTATGAGGAAGATATCAAGTTAAACCAAGTGATCTGCTCCAATGACCCCAAAGATACCAAAGTAGTGAAGGAAGATTGTGCGGAGTATGTATTTTTTCACCTGTGAAGGGTACTGCCTTCTTGGATGCTGATGGCCCACTAATGATCAGTTATCTATTGATTTGACTGATATGTACACAGGGCCTACCGATTGATTCCTACCAATGCTGAGGGGCGCTTTGTGTCAGTTGACCACCATGTACCCAGGAATGTAGTTCGCGCAACATACAAAAAATGTCTTGTGAGCCAAAATAATCATCATCCCCATGGCAAATCATCTCCAGCTCTCAGAGGGTCTTGAACTAATGAATACAATGTACTTTTTTAAAAAAACAAAAATGATACATCAGGTCGCCATATGGACATCTGATGTATCAAAGGTTATAGCGTAAGCTCAAAATTAAGCTGAACTAATGTTGATGGTTTGGCACTTACTCAACATCTCTCATTAGTTTGAAGTCTGATATTGACATCTTATTTCAAAAGGTGATGCAAGAATGCAACACCAGGGTGAGTGATGCCTAGTATTTCAAGCTGTATTGTAATTTATCATGGTGAAGCATATTGTATTGACTTCAGACTGGTTTTATAGTGGGGTTTTATCCTGACACCCAAAGGAGCTCTGGGTAAAAATGGGAAAGTCAACTTGCTGATTCGGACCCCTCATGAAAAATAATGGCTCATGAGCTTTTCAAGTTGTGTACCATTTTACAACATCCTCATTTGGTAAACTGGGAATAGCCATGTTGCTTTCCAGTCCAAAGTGTTGTTGCTTTGTAATTGTATGATACTTCCCCCTTTTTGTAGGAGTGGACATACAACATATTTTCCAACATTTGTAAATATATCAAAATAGTACTTAAAGATTTGTGAAATTTTGGACTCTGACAGGTTACGTAGATACATATAATTCTCAGGACTGTTAGTGTAATTTGTAAAGCACTGACAACAATCAGGATAGGTTCATCAAGGATTTTATAAATTGCCAACATGTCCCCACCAAATAATTTATGGAATTTTCTAGAGTCTGGACTCAAACTGAGAAAATTTGATGACTTTGAATTATGAAAAAACAAATCCAGACTGAAAACAATTATGATTTAAAAATAAATTGGATACAATGAAAAAGAGAAAAAAAAGAACGTAATTGGCCGCAACAATTATTGGAATCCTGGTATAACTACTAGCCCTTGAAAGAGGAGAATCTCAGGTGAGTTGTACTAATTGTACATACTCAATACCTAAATTCACTGATTATATAATTTCATGTAAGGAATTTATTAGCTCTTTGGAACAGCCAAAGAACAGGTCAATCACTAGTATCTCAAGAGATCTTAACATCAATGACCTCAATACTCTTGAAGATCCTGATCATCAATCTTTGTGCAGGTGCTCTAGGTGAGCATCAAAAAATTACCCTGTGATAAACAAAAGATGATTTTTTAATCTTTTTACTTCTTATTGCATCATTCAACAAAGTCATTTGCCTGTTAATAAAATATCCTGACCAAAACTCATTGATTGCATTTCACAATGGTGGTCTAGTTACACTAACTGTAGTGTTAGTGTATCATAATACAGAATGTAACAGGTGGAATTTTGGCTCTGTGTAATTTTTTCTGTCTATCTGTGCCACTTCCGGCTGGTGGATCTAAAATTCATTCCTATGAATTTAGATTTATCATTTTTTAGACTGACCAGATCTTACAAGCAAGAAAAATGGGTCGGTGTTGGGTCTGGCACCCCTAATTATAATTAAAAGGTAGAACATCAAAAATCAATTCAGCTCACACAAACCTTCTTTTTTGGTACAAAAGCCTGTAAATCAATAACACAGTGTGAATTTATGAAGGTTTCACTTGTTGGAAGATGCATTCAAAATATAATCCCTAAAGAATTATGCCTTGTTTAGTAAAATCATGTTGACGTAGTAAAATGAGTTGAAAGGTGTGTAAAGAAGATGCAGATGCTCTCCAAAAGCTGATCAGACCATCCAAATGTTACAAAATTTTGTGAATCCAACATCCAGCTAGTTGGGAACATTGATATTCACATCTAACCTGTCAGCCGGTGTCGCTAAAGTGACAGTCGGTTGATGATGTGAGAAACGCAAAGCCTGGGTTCTGACAGTGATTCGGTTATTTATCAAGAGCTGGCAATCTTGAGACAGTGATTTGGTGATGTATCAGAAGATGAAGAGGGAAGGTGTGTTTAATGTCGTCTCTTCTTGGATTTCTGGTGAGCATAGAAATGAAGAAGATACAACTTATAAAGAGACAATAATGTAGACAACTCTTTATAAGCATATGATGAAAGTGAATATAAGCATATATAGAAAATAGATACTGCAGACTGTGTAGTAAATACAATGTTAACTTGTACAAGGTACATTGGATTTACTTGCATGGCTGACATAACCTATCCACACCTTTCAAACCACATCACATAGTTATTGATAGATAGAAATATTTAAGCAAAAAGGCTAGCTACCATCCCTTCATAGGTATATTCAGTTCAATGTTTGTGTGAATATGGAAATTAGTTTGTGTGCAGAAAGCAGCTCATTTGAGCAGCAGGCTCTCTGGATCTTCTTCACACATATATATTTTTTAATAGTACCCCAGGGCCCAAACCCAGTGGAGGGGGCCCCTTCTACTGTCTAACAAGAGGAAATGTTAGGATCCAATCAGACTTGGCTCAGGGAAGAATGGTAAAAAAATGCACCCTGATTTTGTATACATCCACAAAAATAGGTTTGCAAGAACTCCAATGTATTTGGTTGAAGTCAAGGAACATAGATTTCCACCTTGAATACATTTCATATTTGTAGAGAATCTGTGCATTGAGTCATGTACATACACTAAATGACACAATACAGCATAACTTGACATCAGTCAACCCCTAGTGCCCCTAGTCATTGTTTTGGTGAAGCTAAACCTGAGACGTGTGTGCAAACAGGCTTGTCAACTTTGATTTCAGATTATTGTCTGAGAGAAAGATGATGGAAGTTCCTAGGCTCAGGTAGTTGAAAGACCCTTGCCATGATATTAATTTTCATATTGTCTGCTTTCTTGCTGTTCATATGATAATTTTTGATTACATTCCATCAAAAATGATTTATTTTGGTCTTAGAATTAGCTTTTTGACCATTTATCTAAGGGTGTGGATTGTTTGTACCCCTTCAGAGCACCCAAACTACAAGACTTTTGAGCTTGACCTTCTTGCTTCTTTGGATCAGGGCCCATCAGCATCTTTTGGTAATAATCTGCCCATTTCTATTGACCTCAACTTGTCCCTTGGTCAACCACAGGATGAAGCTCCCACAAATCCCGCCAATATGGTTCATGCAAAGCCCACCAAGGTACCAGAATTTACTCAGGTCAATGCTGTCACTTCAATTTCAGCCAGAAATCAGATCTCTAATAGGCCAACATCACTTTCTGGGGTTGAAAAAATACATGGGGGCTCAAATGGTTTAGTTTTTCCAAATGCGGCAAAGAAAAGTGGTGACCACCCTTATAATCAGGAATCAGTCAGAAAAACATGGAAAACTGGACCAAGTTCTCCACTCAGAGGCTCTAAGGAGCCATTCAGATCTTTGCAAGACACTCTTCATCTGCCACTTTGGAGATATAGCTGGGAAGGAGGGAAACTCCACCATCCTGCAGTGGCTAGGCTGAAAGAAGAACAAACCCACAGGGAATCCAAGATGAATGGGCTTACCAGATCATCATCATTAGCAATGGAGGTTACAAATTTATCAAGCCCTCAATGTTTGAAAAGAATCAAAACAGAAACTACAAATTCTTTGAAGTTTCCAGAAATCCACTTGAACACAGCCTCGCTAGATACTGATGCGCATCAGGCTATGAAAGTTAGGCTTGGAAAAAGACCTGCTCAAAACCAAGACCAATCACCCAGAAAAACGGATTGGTCTGCAGTAAATCCTCAAATCCAGGGTTCATCAATAAAATTCAATTTAAAAGAGCAATCAAAAACCCCAGAGATGGAACCACTACTAACAATGAAGTTTTTTGGCAACAAAAATGGAATGAGTTTATTTCCAGAAGCCTCATCTAGCAAAAATTTGATCCAAAACAAAATTCACAATGGTTCTTCATCAGAAAAAATGAAATATTTTGGTACAGTAGGGGACATACATAGAGCCTCTAAATCCATAATTCTGCCTCAAAAGAATTTGATTCACCTAGATCATATACTCAAGTTTGATGAGGAATGCTTCCTTGGTGATCACATTTCATCTGAAATACACAAATCCAAATTAAAACCATTGGTTTCATTCATCAGATTGATATCTGAGCCATACAAACCAGAGTTGGACCCAAGATCCATTTACAAATTTCTATGCACCCTACCCTCATCCCTGCCAAGCAAAGAGCAAGATAAAAATGAAGCAATTTTTAAATCAAATTTACCTAACCATTCGTGCAAAAGATATGATCTTTCATTTAGAAAGTTGCTATTCCACCAAAGTCTCTGGTTCAAATTTTGGTATGAGAGAACTGGAATCAACCTTGAAGAAATTGAATTTAAAGGTTCATATCAAAAACAAATCATGGCTAAAAACAAACTAACGTTACTTTTATTTTATATTGACACAATTAGTACTGTCTTGTGGAAATACTGTCAAGACAAATCAGATGTTTATCAAAATGATAACTCACTTCTCAAACAAGCAATGAATATTATATTTGAGGTTGATGTAACACAGTTTTATAATCATAGGTTTGAGAGGAAATCACATGAAGCAAATTTTTATAAAAATCAAGAGAACAAGAATAAAAAATTTGCTTTGATCTGGGATTGGATAGCAACTTTGATTACTAGGCATGGTAGCAAGAAATTACGTGATGTCATATTCTATCAGGGAGATGGTTATTTTTCTCCTTTCACTCAACAAGGATTACATTTTATTTGTTTTTACTCAATTGATAAATTGAACCACAGATTGGCGACTCATTATGAACCCAAAATGAGAAAAATTTTCATTCCATAAAAACTGCATCACTTTGGAAAATCTGATAGATTGAAAATATTCTAGGGAAAAATTAAAATCTTATACTGATGTTTCCCCATGATTTCTCTGAATCTGCTTGTCCTACCTGATATTATTATGTCTGAAACTTATTACCATTTAATTAGAGAGATAGGATTCCTTTCAAAAATACACATGGTTACATATCAGGATTTGCCTAACCCCAAAACAGTTTCAATTTTCCAAGAGGGGATTTTTCAATTTATGTGTGGGGAATTTTCACCTTACTTTTGATGTTTCAGGAACAAAAAATGAGCTGAACTCCAAATTTTCAGTCAATTTTATTTCCCCAACTGATCCAATTTGATCCTCCTTCAAAGATTTTTACTTTTCCTACTGAACAGCCACATATACAGAAATTGGTGTGCAGGCTCACATACCATTTGTGTTGGAGTTTTGTGTCTGCACTCCAAATTTTAATTATCTTACCAGTTGTTTTGAAACTGTTGTTCACCTCCACATACCAAACTAGGTGTTTGCAGCTGCACATTGATGCAAAAGGTCACAAGGTTAATCGATTTCACTTAAAACAAGCCACACTTCTGGCTTAGGAGGCAACAAAAGATGGGTATTTGTTCAATTAAATGCTTTCATTTCTTGCAAAAGTTTTTGATTTATGAAAAACCTGAGCATTAAACTTTGGGTTTAGCAGATTGATTACAGCATCCCAGTATTCTTGGTCATTATGAAATAGTGGATTAAAGTATTCATTTTTTTGATTCTTATACCAATTACCAATCAAAGCCAGAGCTACTTGGAGTGTCCTGGAACATGACTTTGTGTCACTGAAGTAATGCATTAGAAATATTTGACTCTCAACAAAATTAGATGCTGAAAGAGTAAAGTTTTTATCTACTTGATTCTTTAACACAAAACTTCCAAAAAGCGGTAATTTGTTGTTGCCGGGGTTTGTGAAAATATTGTAGACCCACTGGAAGAATACCTGATGAATGTCGGGTTCAGTTTGAATACCCTTAGAATTGATGTATTCCACAAATTCTGAATGGCATATTTTCAAGTTCGTCACAAATGATTCCAATTTCACAAGAATAGAACTTGTTCTGGGGAGTTTTCCGGTTTGAGTTTTAATCCAAATGTATCCGTGCAACACTCCTTGCTTATCATATGTAGGCGATTGGAGCAGAGCAGGCAGCTCATTAGGGCACAGTCTTGTCTGCCTGTACGCTTTTTCCTGAGACCTACATCTGGGCTCTAAAAAAGCCTTACCGAAGTAGTCCAAAATTTGATTTTCTTTCTCACCTAGTCCCAAAGTGTACCTAACTTCGTATATTCTGGGTTTCATTGATTTTGGGAATCTTTCTAGGTCACGGATTGCAAAATTCCCCAAGCTTTGTTGTCCTTGGGTTAAATCAGATATGCTTCCGAATTTCATCTTGGATCGAATTCCATCTGCGATCAGTAACTGTATCTCTGAAAATTTATCAAGACCACCGGCTAGCCCCTTCCAAATTTTGCGTTGGCAATTTTTATAGTAATTTTCGATAATTGACAGTGCGACTCGAAGTGCGTTTGTGGGATTGCGAGCTACTGATAGAAAATTAATTAATGTTATTTTTATCGGCCCAAATTTTTCTCGACGGCCCAGCGCATTTAGATTTTCATGACTGATTGTTCCAAGAACAGGTGCAGTATGTGTGGGATTAAAAGTCGCCTTGAACAGCCAGTCTATCAGCTCATGGTGAGAACGGAGTTCAGAGTCATTTATTGATTTTGTTTGGGATAACTTTCTCAAGACGAGTGCGTTGATGAATAAGAGCCATTGAATCAAATCGACAAAGCGGTCAGAGAGCTGACCACCTGCTTGAAGCGTTTGTTGGGTTGGTTTCCTTTGGGCTAGAAGTTTTGGATCAATTTCAATCCTGGTTATGTATAATATATCGTCGAGTCGGGAAATCCTGATTGGCAAGCCGTCTATTGGATAATCGTTTTTAGTTGGTTTGGTACTTGTATACCTCAAGAGGATGGAAAGCTGATCCTTGAATTTTCTGGTAAAGCTTCCTAAAAACCCATCATCCATTCTTTTTCCTAGGAACGTCGATTTGTGAATACTGTTCAGCGCTGAGCTTATGTGAATCTTTTTGCTTTCATCGCTGTAATTAGCTTGAAAAGACTTGTTGGAAACTTCGGCCTGATCTTGATCTCCGGAGTCCTTCAAGTTCAGCCCAACCCGATGATTCTCATTTGATTGTGCAGAGAGCTTGTCGTGGGGATGAACATGTGGGCTACGCGGCTTTGGCCACTCTGAATCAAAAGAGTTGCGTGATCCTGAATGGAAAGTCAGATACATGTGTTTGTCCAGGAATAAAATTTACAGTGCCTTTCTTATTAAATACTTACCTGGGCTTCTGGTTTGATATTCGACTCCCTGATCAGAACGCTGAATTTGGTGGAGATAATCTTTCCCGTCTTGTGGGTCGTGTTGAATTAAGGGATGCTCTTGAAAGTGGGCTTGTTCTTTTCCGGCCACCCATCCTGGTTGGGGGAGATGCGAGGGTAGTACTTGAACGTGATCTAAGAGGGACGAGGATTGTCAGCTTGCTACTATGGCAGAGACAACCTGTCATAGCAAATAAAATAATAAATCACATAAAAAAATCTAAGTATAAATTGAAAATATTACATAAGTAAAAGAAACAATATTACTTATGTAAATAAGATAAAAATAGATAAAAATAAATGAATAACTTAAAAATTATAAACAAAACCTTGAATATTATTGCAGATTCTGAATCAGCATACAATTTAACCTAGGGTACCTCAGCCAAAGGTACCCCAAATTCTAACTCCTTCACCCTGTAATACAAGCATGAATAATTAACAGGTACCCCCAGATCACGGGTACTGTGACACTTCTGCATAATGCATAATGCATATACTCCAAATCCAGTCTCAGAATTGGAGTATTGTGCACGGTTTAGAAGATAGAGCAGTGTGGAGTCCTGTCTCCAAGCCCATGTGCCACGTAGTCATGCTGCGCACCAGTATCCAAGGATTGGGCCACAAAAGCCCCAGAATCCCCATTGCACGTAGCAACAAAGCCCCCACACGTGTAATAAGAATGTGAACAAGCTAGAATATCCATGAAAATACTACAGTAACCATATTCCAGTGGGTAACACGTGTAGCAAGCCTCAGAAGACACCTCTAGAATATTCTGTGGCCCATTTCCAAGGAACCTGCTCCACGTAACAGAGTAGCCCCTATCCACAGGTTCCCATGGGACATTCTTGGCTGTAATAATTTCGTGCATGACCCCTTGGAGCTTCTGGAATATTATCCCCAAGGTTCCAGCCCTGGTTACATCACCATGTGGGCCAAAATGGGCCCAAAAGCGCCCCCAAGTCCTACTAAGCTCCCCTGAGCAACCCCTGAGGCCTTCCACAGGTATTTAAAGGGCCTTCTGACCGCCCAAATAATGATCCCCCAGCTTTACAATACCATATAGAAACATACTTACCATTTACAAGTCCCCTACACTTGTAATTAGCCTAGTTAATACTATTATTGCTGTTATTAAAGCCTCAAAATTCCTCAAGAAACTCAACAGTTATCACCCAGCAACCAAAATCAACCTTTCTGAGCGCTCCCAACTGTCCAGTTTCAACTTTGAAGATCCTCAAGACCCCCTAGGATTATTACTAGTAAGTAATAACCCTTTTCTTGAGATTTTCCCCTTAAATTCTTCCTGGGATTTAAACCACACCTGTTCACAGGCCCCAGTGTTCCAGGTACCTAAATCCTCTGCTTTTGCACGATACCTTAGAGGGATTAAACCACCCCTGATTCATCAGGCCCCTCTGGTTTTATTTATATTAATTTTATTAATATAAATTGGCCATTTTTTCCTATTAATTAAATCCATAAATTCCTTTGTTTTATTGGAATTTACTCCTTTAAAAATTAAAACCAAAAATATATAAGCTTTTTGTTTACTCTTGCACCACGTGTAGCTAGAAGATTTTACATCTTGGCATCACGTAGGCTGACAAGGATCGCTGGGCGTCGATGTTTTCGAATTCAGGGGACTGTAACTGCTCGAACAGCCGAGAAATCTTGAGATCATCATTGTTAGTGCCCATCTCATGGCGTGACACAGATTCAAACATAGACTCAGGTGTCAAGACATTTAAGTGGCTGTTTTCTGAATTGAAGAGCCTCCGTTCTTGTGGAATTAGGCTAGATGCAGATGGCAAGAAGGAAGTAGGTGAAACTGGAGCAGAAGGAAAGCTCGCAAGTTGGTAAAAGTGGTGACTCGACTGATGGCGTCCTGCCCCTGATTGAGGCATAAATAGATACGTGCATTAGCTCAAATATACTGCGCACCAATAACAGGAGTCCTGCAACTCCGTCTACTCACCTTCAAATTCCATTGCTGTCAACAGATCAGTGAAACCTAAAGTTAAGGCCAGCGGGTCGGGATCCGGTGGCGGAATGCGACCGTCATAGCCGTGCCAGTCTGTACTTTGTCTTTTGGTAACACGGGAATTCTCATTGTTTGTAGGATTTACCGCTATAAAAATGTTATCAATAAGTCAGCTAGTGGATGGGGGAGATTTTGGTATGTGACCAACAAGCAGTAGCTGTACCTTCTAGATAATGGTGGATGCCAAGATCCGCCCAATGGGTATCAAAGCCGGAGATATCTAATTGGTTAGAGGTCTGCTGATTTCCTGAGGGACGCTTCCGGTTGAACACGTTGTAAGGAACTTCTAGTGAGCTTGAATGAAGATCGGAACCCATATAATGACTTTTGTCTAAGCTCTGAAAGGCTGGCCGAGCCTTTCCAAGGGTGCACCTTAGAGCAAAGCAACATGCCACAAATTGTTGGAAAAACCCAAAGTTGGGAATGTTTGGAGCCATCTTCGCAAGAAGTATGTATGGTTCCTTGGACAGACCTGGACACACTCGTATATTTGAGAAAGAAAACGGCTCACTTTGAAGGTTACATTTTACGTACCTCAACCTGTATCAGAAAATTGTTTTGATCCGAGTTTCGGGCAACCCAGGGTTGCCTGTTTCAAGTCTTGAATCCGGGAAAAACTCAACTTCAACCACAAAAAATCGACCACTTTTTCATCCCATCCAAATCAATTCTCCAAACTTCTCTATCATCAAAATAAGTATCTTTTAACCTTATCTCATCTAAAAACCCCGTTCTCCCATCTTATGTAATCACAATAAACTTCTCATCTCATCTACCTCTACCAACTCACCCTTAAACCATGATTACACCACCAGTGAAGGAAATTGTTTTTTTTCCGACCAACAACCGATAAGAGGTCGGCTTGTGTTGTAAGCAGGGGCTGACCGTCACTTGACGGTCGGCAACTTTCCTGAATTTTTTCAGGTTATTTATCGGGAGGGAATTCAAAATGATTTCGATATCCCACCCACACCGATTCACCATTGGTTTTTTACAGCAGTTCCCATAAAGCTTGCGGTTGCGAGCTCCTGGGATCCCAAACTTTTTCTTTTTTTGCGCCTCACTTTTTCGTGCCTCTTTGTCCTGTATCTGGCTGTGTACAGCGACAGTCTTCCAGGCATTGAGGCCCAACTCCCTCATTTTTCGAGTTGAGAAGTCGGGAGTTGGACCATCAGAATCCTCTCAATTTTTTGAACAGGAAGCTGCCATAACATCAGTGCATGCCCGGCCCCCACCGGGAAACTGCCAGGTCGCCGGGCCCCAATCAAGACCTTGGTAACAGATTCACAACCTGTACAGTCATGTGTACAGGTCACGAGGCACAAAAAAAAGGTGGAAAGAAAATAAAATAAAATCAGATCCCAGGAGCTTGCAAGCGCAAGCTTTCTGGGAACTGCTGTGTCGGTGCAGAAACCAACAACTTTTCAGTTTCTCCCAATTTTTTTTCGACTCCTCAGCCGCTTCCGGTTTAAAATCGGTCGCAATCCAATTGCTTTTCGGGATGCTTGAGCCTGGCAGGGTCAAAACGCTGCAGGTCTGCCTGCAAAAACAGAAGCCAGCTGCAAGCATCAAACACATGGTCCACCCGTACCATGCAAAGGCATGCTCAGACCTGATGACCACACAAGCGTTTTTTGAACTTTTTTTTTCTAAGTCCTTCTTTTTTTTACTGCCAGACCAAGTTTTCTGGACGTTTCAAAGCACTTGGATTTAGAATGTGAGCCTGTGGGAGACAGGCTGGAAGTGAAAAAAAAATCGAAAAAAATCGAAAAAGGACCAATTGCAATACTGAACCAAAGGTTGACTTCCTTTCTGGAAACAAATCAATTCCAAGGCCGATTGAATATCGGTTGTAAACCGGTTCAGCTCGCTCAACTCTGTTGGGAGATGGTTGAGAACTCTGTTTTTTGAGTTCCGAGCTGAATCAAAAATGGATCGAAAACAATTCAGCCCTTCAACTGAGCCGGGCATTTTTCGGCCATTTCACTGTGATTCTAACCGGTCGGTTTTTTCACTTGGAAGAAACTTTAAAACTTCACCCGTTGTGAGCCTGAGCCTCTTATGTGGCGACAGGACACAAGAGAATGAGGGGAACTACTGATTGGATTTCGAGGAAGAAAGGAAATACAACCAGAAGTTAGAAGAAAAGGGGAAAGACAAGAGAAAGGAAATAGAAAGAAAAAGAGAAATATATTTTTATTAGTTTTTTATCTTTTACTTGATTGAATCTGCAGTCTTACTTTCCTTTAGTAGGATGGCTGATAAGCTGTCAAAGACTAGCCTCTTCTACAAAAGAAACTGTAGAAGGTTTTAGTTTGAATATGTTCAGAACTAACCACTATTTTTTAGATCTATGATCAAGGCTCTTTAAAGGGAAACCTATGTGGTTTTCAGGTTTACCACCAAACAATGAGATGAAGAGTATGATAGAGTTGGTTGAAGAGAGAGAGAGTTAGAGAGAAAGATATGGTTGAAGAACCATATGTGAGACTGAGATAGCAGAGCAACAGAGAAATCAAGAAACAAGAAAGAATACTAACTGTCAGAGTCCTAGCACGACCACGTGGAGGAGAAACTGGGAGTTGGAATCCTTTCGACAAGTTAAGCACCAAACGGTAATGGGGTTGGTTGGTTTGTTGGTGGTTCTGGTTCAAAGTGAGTCTGAAAACCTTGAAGATCCTGAAAAATGCGAACTTAGAATCCTCTGACAGGATTTTCAGAGTTGGATTACGTAATAATTACATGTACTTGTGGTAGAGGGGGACTATAATTCTTGAGTAGCAGAATTTAGACAAGTACTGTGGAATAAGGCAAAGTATGTGAAGGATTTGAGTAAGATAAAAGTGGTCAGTGGTGACTAGGGTTTAATTTAGCTGAGAAATCCATATCTGAAGTCAGATTCAAGAAATATCTTATGAGTAAAAAGTTATGGTAATATTATAGTGAGAAAAGATGGTAAAAGCAGTCTTTTGGCCAGCTGTGCTGGCTCTAAGGCTGACACCCGTGGTGTAGGAACAAGACAAAGATGGTGAAAATTGCATGTATTTAGGCTACTCTAGACTATATACATGCTGTGAGAAAGCGGGGTCTAGGTGAGACTTCTGATAACCCCTCCTGGGTTACAATACTCCCCCCTCACCTAGACACTAGACATGATCCTCCCCCGGAAAGACTCAAAAGGATCCCTTGACAAAGCTTTAGTAAAGATGTCAGCCAGTTGTTCCTTTGTTGGGACCCATACCAGTTCTGTTTTCTTTTCATGAAGTGCTTGGTTAGTGAGGTAGTATTCTCTTTCTACGTACCGGACCCTCTTATTCGTGGAGTCATCTGTACTAACTCTGATTGCAGCCTGGTTATCGCAATGAAGTAAACCTGTAAAACTCTTCTTGAGGATATCTGTGAGCAGATGTCTTACCCACAGGACTTGTCTGGTCCCAATTCCAAGTGCCATGTATTCCGCCTGGCACATTGAGGCGGCTATTGTGGCAAAGCGCCTAGAGGTCCAGAGCACTGGACATCCAAAAAAGGTTACTACAATACCATAAGTGGATTTTGAGAATTTTCCCCCCCAAGAAGTGTCACAGAAGCATTTTAGAGGTTTTGGGAGGTTGTTTGGGAATAGGTTGAGGTATAGATCCTTCGAATTGGCCAGATAACCAGTCAGGTGTCTTACCCCTTTCCAGTGATTAGTTCCCAGTTGAGCTGAAAACCCCGCCAAAAGGTTGACTGCAAAGGCAATGTCAGGGTGTGTCCCCACTGCAAGATAGCTCAAAGAGCCTATAATTGACAGAAAATGAGTAGACTTGGATTTGTCACCATTTGGTTCAGTGATCAGCTCAAGCAAAGGAGGTAGAGGAGTTTTATGGGTGGTGCAACCATCCAATGGGCATCAAGTATTTAGTTGATTAGCTTGGGTTGACGGATGCTAAAACCCTCTGTTGATCTTTTTACCTCAAGTCCATCTGTTCACTTTATTTTGAGCATACCCTTGAGTCCATCCTCTAGTGATCTGAGCATTTCTGTCAAGTAGCCCGTTGTGGAAAGTAAGGCGTGCCCTCCGAGATTTCTTGAACTTCTCCTCCCCGCAACACGTCCTACTCTGTTAGTTGTTCCGGGTAGCTTGCTTGATGGTCTTGTTGGTAGGTAAAAATAACTAATCTTTTATTGTTTTCTTTGTACTACACCAAATCTTCTCTATCTCTAACAATTCTTTAGGCTAATACAAGAGTCACTTCTAAGTCACTCTCTTATTCTGATGTGTTCTGAGTCATAAGTCTCCCCCCTTTCTTCCCCCCTTCTACTCCAAACTCCAACTCTTGCCAGCTATCCCACACTCAAGTTTCCTCCTGCTTCCCATGTTGTCCTCCGCTGTCACTCCCTCGCACTTCGCTTGTCACCCCTCCAACGCCTGCCAGTCAGTGTACTCCTCCGGCCGCCCTTTGGATAGGTCTCCCACCGCCTCTTGTCAGCTCCAAACCCCGCTTCCGTCTCTCGGTGCCCCCGCTCCTTTGTAGCCCCTCCGCAGTATACGCTAAACCCCAGTCCGCAGTCGGCCATGAACCCCGAAGTCCGCCAGTGCCCGGATTCCCCGCAGCAAGCTTTTCGGCCTGCTTTTCTCCGCTTTCCTGCGCCTCGGAAAGCTAGACTTTTCCACTAATGCGCCACCGCTTTCCTCAGCCTGTGTGTGTAGAGTCAGCTCCGCATGCTTTCCGCATCAGCCGCAAGCATTCCGCATACACCCAAACAGTCCGGCCAAAGCTTTGGGCGCAGCGTGCTCTCACCGCCACATCCCCCCAACACTTAAAATCCTGTCCCCAGGATCCTTCTTCCCTCAATTTCTTCCCCATTCCCATTCCACTCATTCCCCTCTCCACCATGTCCACCTGTACCAACTGTCAAACCCACAGCCTCCCCTGTGTCCGTGAATCCACAGATCATGCGTGCGACTTCTGCCAAAGAGCTAAATGGTGCTGTTCTTTAGTCCCGCGTCTGTGCAATTTCCCTCAACGCTGTACTCGCGCAAACATTCCTGATTCCCACAGTCGTCCTTGACCCTCCAAGCATCCTCGGACTACAACCCGTGCAAATTCCTTGGGCAATTTTGTTGTCCCTGACTCGGCCAGCGTTTCTGTTGCCTCTTCAATGCCCTCTTCTTGCACCCTGTCACCACCACCTCAACCTCCACATTCATCCCCTGAGTCTCCAGCTGGCTCCAACCCAATGACGCCACTACCTCGCGAAACCGACTTCATGTCACCACCTGACTCAACCGCTCTATGACAAGCATCTGGGGTCCGAGTCCAAGGAAATCCACGTAGCCGTGCGGATGGTGGCTTTTAAGTCTTGGAGTGATGGAACTTACCCGAATAATCTTCCTTGTCATTGCATTGTGCAAATGGAGTGTGTCCTTTGTCCGGACACAAACCTACCCAAGCTC